CCAGGCTGGAGTGCAGTGGCCGGATCTCAGCTCACTGCAAGCTCCGCCTCCCGGGTTTACGCCGTTCTCCTGCCTTAGCCTCCCAAGCAGCTGGGCCTACAGGCGCCCGCCACCTCGCCCGGCTAGTTTTTTGTATTTTTTTTTTTTTTTTTTTTTTTTTTTGAGGCGGAGTCTTCACTCTGTCGCCCAGGCTGGAGTGCAGTGGCACCATCTCGGCTCACTGCAAGCTCCGCCTCCCAGGTTCGCGCCATTCTCCTGCCTCAGCCTCCCGAGTAGCTGGGACTACAGGCGCCCGCCACCGCGCCCGGCTAATTTTTTGTATTTTAGTAGAGACGGGGTTTCACCGTGTTAGCCAGGATGGTCTCGATCTCCTGACCTCGTGATCCGCCCGCCTCGGCCTCCCAAAGTGCAGGGATTACAGGCGTGAGCCACCGCGCCCGGCCTGTATTTTTTAGTAGAGACGGGGTTTCACCATATTAGCCAGGATGGTCTCGATCTCCTGACCTCGTGATCTGCCCGTCTCGGCCTCCCAAAGTGCTGGGATTACAGGCTTGAGCCACCATGCCTGGCCTTGTTTTATTTTTTTATTTTATTTATTTATTTTATTTTTTATTTTTATTTTTAAATTTTTATTTATTTAATTTTAATTTTAATTTTATTTTTTTGAGACATCTCTCTGTCACCCGGGCTGGAGGGCAGTGGCATGATCTTGGCTCACTGCAACATCCGCCTCTTGAGTTGAAGTGATTCTCCTGCCTCAGCCTCCCAAGTAGCTGGGACTACAGACAAACACCACCACACCCGGCTAATTTTTGTATTTTTTTTTTTTTGTAGAGATGTGGTTTCACCATGTTGGGCAGGCTGGTCTTGAACTCCTGACCTTGTTATCGGCCCACCTCAGCCTCCCAAAGTGGTGGGATTACAGGGGCGAGCCATGGCACCCGGCCACCTGGGTTTTAAGTACTCCTTTTGAGGTTCTATTGGCTACCCCTTATCTGGATGAAGGATTTGGTCTGTGGCTCACAGAAAGGTAATGTGAACCGGCGCCGTATGCAGATGAAGGGATGGCCCATGCTTGGCCTGCGGCTAATCCAGGACACTCTCCCTTCCCGTCTGAGATGCAGTGGAGGTAGGAGGGGACGGGGAGGGAAGCCTTTGACCCTTTGCTGCTTGGGCATGCGGAGATGGGGTTTTCCCTTTTGATTTAACTTTTGGAAGTTGGTGTTAATCGTTTTCCCTTTGATTGAACTTTAGGAGATGGATTGGATTTAAATTCCCTGCCCCCAGACCTTGCTGTTTTCCCTTGATTCAGCTTTAGGAAGTCAGCATGGATTGGCCTTAAATTCCCTGCCTCCAGACCCTGTTCTCCTGCCTCAGCCCCGCACATGTGACTGGAAGCCTCCATCTGCCCTTCTAGATGCAGATGGGGCCTTTCAAGCAGTGACGTAGGATTTTTCTTGGTAACGTGTCAGCCGGAGACCTCCGACCAGTGACGCCCTTGCCCCAGGCCTTGTGTAGGCCTGGGGATGTTGTAGGAGATACCCTGTCCATTTGGCCCACTGGGCCACGCCTGGTCTGCTGTCTGGAGAGGATCTCTTGGCCACCGTAACTGTCCAGTACCTGGTGGGAGGGGGTGTGTGAGTAAGCGAGTGTGGGGTCCAGCTGGCAATTCCAAGTGCTGGCACAGAAACGGGTTTTGTGTGGTGCTTGTGGCTAGAGCCACAGGAGTGTCACAAGCCACTTCCACAGTGGACTCTGGCATCCAGACGAGGGCAACGTGATGGTGTCCAGGCAGGGGTGTCCATGACCCCACAGCACCAGAGGGTGTTATAGCTAGTTAGCTTTTTCTTTTTTGAGAGAGTTTTGCTCTTGTTGCCCAGGCTGTGGTGCAATGGCGTGCGATCTTGGCTCACTGCAGCCTCCGCCTCCCAGGTTTAAGTGATTCTTGTGCCTCAGCCTCCCAAGTAGCTGGGATTACAGGTGCCTGCTACTATGCCCAGCTAATTTTTGTATTTTCAGTAGAGACGGGGTTTCACCACATTAGCCAGGCTGATCTCAAACTCCTGACCTCGGGTGATCTGTCCTCCTTGGCCTCCCAAAGTGCTGGGATTACAGGCATGAGCCACTGGGTCTGGCCAGCTAATTAGCTCTTTTAGTCCCACTGTCCACAGCCTGACAGACAGCAGCATGTTAACTGCTCTGCCAGCCCCTTGCCCTGCTCTGGCCCTTGACTCTGGAGCTGGTTCTGCCCTGCTGCTGCTTCTGTCATGTGGGTGGCTGCCCTCAGCTGGTGGAGGACAGGGCCATGATGTTACAGCCTTCCCTGTACCCATATTTGGTGGGTCCTGAGTTCTTGTGCCATGTCCAAGAAGAACGAGGTCACACTGACAAAGAGTGAGGAAGGCAGAGAAGAATATTACTGAGCAACAAAACAGCTCTCAGCAGAGAGGGGATGCGAGGGTGGTCAACCACCTGAAGTCTGGTGGTTTCTATCATTGTGGCTGGCTCTGGAGTTTTTAGGGGCACAGAATGAGGAGGGGCAGGCCATAGGTAGCATTGGAAAAGGTAACCTTTGATTGGTTCTTTCTGAATAATGCTTTTTAACCAATCAGGAAAGAGTGGACAAACAGGAATAGAAGTTCTCCGATGCTGGATTTCAGGCTTTTTTTTGCTTCATGGTGAGGTTTCACTGGGGACTCACCCTGTCTGCCTAGGATCTGTCTCCTGTCACTATCAGCAGCAGCACATACAGCCAGTGTCATCAAAACAGCAACTGTGGGACAATGGCCCTTGAGCCCTGCTTTGTGCTTCCTATGGCCCAAGGCCACAGGATGGATGCAGGGTGTAGGACTCCTTTGTTTTTAGTTTTTATTTTTATCTACCCATGTACATGCTGATAGAACTCCTTTGTATTCTTTAAAATGCCTCCTGGCCGGGCATGGTGGTTCATGCCTGTAATCCCAGCACTTTGGGAGGCCGAGGTGGGCAGATGACGAGGTCAGGAGATCGAGACCATCCTGGCTAACATGGTGAAACCCCGTCTCTACTAAAAATGCAAAAAATTAGCCGGGCGTGGTGGCTCAAGCCTGTAATCCCAGCACTTTGGGAGGCCAAGACGGGCGGATCATAAGGTCAGGAGATTGAGACCATCCTGGCTAACACAGTGAAACCCCGTCTCTACTAAAAAATACAAAAAACTAGCCGGGCGAGGTGGCGGGCGCCTGTAGTCCCAGCTACTTGGGAGGCTGAGGCAGGAGAATGGCGTGAACTCGGGAGGCGGAGCTTGCAGTGAGCTGAGATCGCGCCACTGCACTCCAGCCTGGGCGACAGAGCTAGACTGTCTCAAAAAAATAAAATGCCTCCTGCTGGCCAGGCGTGGTGGCTCACGGCTGTAATCCCAGCACTTTGGGAGGCCGAGATGGGCGGATCACAAGGTCAGGAGATCGAGACTACCCTGGTTAACACGGTGAAACCCCATCTGTACTAAAAAATACAAAAAATGAGCCGGGTGTGGTGGCGGGCGCCTGTAGTCTCAGCTAGTCGGGAGGCTGAGGCAGGAGAATGGTGTGAACCCGGGAGGCAGAGCTTGCAGTGAGACGAGATCACGCCACTGTACTCCAGCCTGGGCGACACAGCAAGACTCCGTCTCAAAAAAAAAAAAGCCTCCTGCTAACACTTAGCTGGCCAGTTTTGTTGGCAACTATAATATTCCACCATAAATTTTTTTTTTTTTTTTTGAGATGGAATTTTGCTCTTGTTTGCCCAGGCTAGAGTGCAATGGTGCAATCTTGGTTTGCTGCAACCTCCACCTCCCACATTCAAGTGGTTCTCCTGCCCCAGCCTCCCAAGTAGCTGGGATTACATGCCCAGCTAATTTTGTATTTTTAGTAGAGACAGGATTTCTCCATGTTAGGCTGGTCTCAAACTCCCAACCTCAAATGACCCACCTGCCTCAGCCTCCCAAAGTGCTGGAATTACAGATGTGAGCCACCACGCCTGGCCCATATTCCACCATAAATTTTTAAAGTGAATCTGGGTGTGCTGCCTAATGCCTATAATACCAGCACTTTGAGAAGCCGAGGCAGGAAGACTGCTTGAGGCCAGGAGTTCAAAACTAGTCTGGACAATATAGTGAGATCCCATCTCTACAGAGAAAAAAATAGCTGGGCATGATGGTGCGCACTTGTAGTCCCAGTTACAGGTGTGAAGCAGAGGCTGATGTTAGAGAATTGTTTGAGCCTGGAAGGTCAAGCTTGCAAAAAGCCATGATTGTGCCACTGCCCTCCAGCCTTGGAGCCTTGGTAACAGAGGGAGATTCTATCTTCAAAAAAAAAAGTGGGTGAGGTTTTTTTTTTTTTTCTTTGAGACAGAGCAGAGTGCGGACTACCAGACTAGACTAGAGTGCAGTGGCATGATCTCAGCTCATTGGAACTTCTGCCTCTTGGGTTCAAGCAAGTCTCCTGCCTCAGCCACCCAAGTAACTGGGACTACAGGCACACATCATTGTGCCTGGCTAATTTTTGTGTTTTTATAGAGACAGGGTTTCACCATGTTGGCCAGCCTGGTCTCAAGCTTCTGACCTCAAGTGATTTACCTGCCTTGGGTTCCCAAAGTGCTGGGGTTACAGGTGGGAGCCACCGCGCCTGGCCGCGGGGTCATTTAATTTGTGTTTCAAATCTGCCAAATTTAACAGGATTTCATAAAGCATTACTGACCTTTTTTAAGCTGGGGTCTCACCCTGTTGCACAGACTGGAGTGCGGTGGTACAGCTGCTGCTCATTGCAGCCTTGAGCTTCACTCTGTTGCACAGACTGGAGTGCGGTGGTACAATTGCTGCTCATTGCAGCCTTGAGCTCCTGGGCTCATGTGGTCCTCCCACCCCAGCCTCTCAGATACCTACATGCATGATACCTACCACGCCTGGCTAATTTTTGTCTTTTTTTGTTTGCTTGTTTTTAATAGAGATGAGCGTCTGTCTATGTTGCCCAGACTTGTCTTGAACTTCTGGGCTTAAGTGATCCTCCTGCTTCGGCCTCCCAAAGTGCTGGGATTACAGGCATGAGCCACCATGACAGGCCTTACTGGCCTCTCGAACCTGCCAACAATCAGGGCCGCCTCTGCCAGGAGCACTTTCATCTGAGTTCAGTCCAGAAGGAATGCCCAGTGTGGCTGCTGCATCTTGTTGTGGGCACCTTGACTTTCTGTGATGCTTCTCTTTTGACTTCAAGGTAAATAATCTGGGTCTTGGGTCTGGGAGGTTACCTGTCTGAGGGCAATGATTTGATGAACTTTAAATTCTTTTTAAAAAATTTTATGGGTGGGCGCAGTAGCTCATGCCTGTAATCCCAGCACTTTGGGAGGCCTAGGCGGGTGGATCACCTGAGGTCAGGAGTTTGAGACCAGCCTGGCCAACATGGTGAAACTCCATCTCTACTAAAAATACAAAAATTAGCCAGGTGTGGTGGCACACACCTGTAATCCCAGCTACTTGGGAGGCCGAGGCAGGAGAATCGCTTGAACTTAGGAGGTCGAGGTTGCAGTGAGCCGAGATCATGCCATTGCACTCCAGCCCAGACAACAAGAGTGAAACTCCATCTCAGGGGGAGAAAAAAAAAAAAACCTTTATATAATTTTTTTTCTTTTTATACAGAGATGGAGATCTCACTATGCTGGCCAGGTTGGTCTTGAACTCCTGGCCTCAAGCAATCCTCTCACCTTGGCGTCCCAAAGTGCTGGGATTACAGGCATGACCCACTGCACCCGGCCTAATGTTCAACTATTTTGTGAAAAGTAGGCTGTGCGCAGTGGCTCATGCCTGTATTCCCAACACTTTGGGAGACTGAAGCAGAAGGACCACTTGAGGCCAGGAATGCTAGACTAGCTTTGGCAATATAATGAAACCTCCATCTCTATTTAAATAATATAAAACAGAAAAATGAAGAAGTGTTGCTTTGCTTCTTCCTTGGAGCCTCGCTGGCCATGGTGGCAGTAGCCAGAGCCAGAGCTTAGCTTGGGCAGGTGTGGGACGGGGGCTGGCAGCGGGCTAGCAGTGGGCGGGCTGCAGGGCAGCGGCTCTCTGCCCTGGGCGGGCAGCAGAGGACATTTGAGAATTAGCCCGGACGAGGGCTGGGTATCTCCTCAGAGGACCCAAGGATCCCAGGCTTCCCCCTCCTGCCGTTGGACGGTAGCGCCCTAAATTCCAGGGCCTGGGTGTGGGGTTGATCAGACAGTTGGTTCGGGTCTGAAGGAAACAGTAGGGCACCCTTCCCTATCCTTGGTGCGGTTTGGTGTTGAAGCCATTTGTCTCTTTGTCTCGGGGAACCTCTAGGATGACCCCTAAGGTCTGACCCCCGCTCTGGGTGGGGGGCCTGGGGCTGTGAGAGGCCAGGCTGCCTGTGGCCCGTGTGGGGAGGTGGCAGGGGGCGCATGCTTCGCTGCTTTGGAGGGAAGACCCAGGCAGAAGCAAGAGGGGAGCCCTGTGTGCTTTTGTAGCCCAGTCCCCCTGCACCCCGACCCCCATCCCCCCCATGCCCCTTCCCTTGCCTCTCACACCTGCCCCGCTCTCTTGCTGCCAGATCTAGACATGGCTCAAGATCCCAAGGCCGGCCCTGCCCAGCCAGGCCAGAAGAGGCAGCAGGGCACACGCGTTTTCTGGTGAGTCTGTCAGGATGGGCCGCTGGGGAGCGCGTTGGGGGCTGCCGGGGAGCGCGCTAGTGGCCGCTGGGGAGCGCGTTGGGGGCCGCCGGGGAGCGGGCTGGTGGCTGTCGAGCTTGTATGGGGCTCTGGGTTCCCCTGGGACAGAACAAGGACCCCAGAAGCCCCCCAAGTGTGCTACACACCCAGTGGCTCAGGTTGCTCAGGGCTTCCTCCCTGGGCCTTAGGTTTTCTCTGTCAACTGAGGAAGTTGACCCAGTGCATTCCAAAGCCCCTTCTAGCTGGTGCCACCAACTCCCCCATCCTGACCGAGGCAGGGCCCCTCCTTCTGCCTGGAGAAGCCTGGATCCCCCCAGGTGAGGGTCCCTAGGGGGTAGTGTCCGGGGGCGATTTCTGGGTCTTGACCTTTGGGAAGTAGCAAATGGGAACCTTTCTGGTTGACATTGTTCCCCTAACTTGGGAAACTTAAAGCAATTTTAAGGAAATCTTTTTTTTTTTTTTTTTTTTTTTTTTTTTTTTTTTTTGAGACAGGGTCTCGCTCTGTCACCCAGGCTGGAGTACAGTGGTGCAATCTCAGCTCACTGCAACCTCCTGCTGGGCTCAAGCAATCCTCCCACCTTAGCCTCCCAAGTAATTGGGATCACAGGCGCATGCCACCACGCCCGGCTAATTTTTGTTTTGTTTTGAGACAGAGTCTCACTCCATTGCCACTCAGCTCCAGGCGCAATCTCGGTTCATTGCAACCTCCGCCTCCCCGATTCAAGTGATTCTCCTGTCTCAGCCTCCCGAGTAGCTGGGATTACAGAGGCACACCACCACAACTGGCGAATTTTTGTATTTTAGTGGAGATGGGGTTTCACCATATTGGCTGGGCTGGTCTCAAACTCCTGGCTTCAAGGGAGGCTCTCACCTTGGCACCCCAAAGTGCTGGGATTAGGCTGGGTGCGGTGGCTCACTCCTGTAATCCTAGCACTTTGGGAGATCTCTTGAGGTCAGGAGTTTGAGACCAGCCTGGCCAACATGGTAAAACCCCATCTCTACTAAAAATAGAAAAATTAGCCGGGCGTGGTGGTGGGTGCCTATGATCTCAGCTACTTAGGAGGCTGAGACGGGAGAATCGCTTGAACCCAGAGGCAGAGGTTGCAGTGAACCTAGATTGTGCCACTGCACTCCAGCCTGGGCAACAGAGTTGAGACTCCATCTTAATAATAAAGTGCTGGGAATTATAAGTGTGAGGCACCACATTCAGCCAGATAATGTTTGAACATGTTTGGAAAGGAGCTCACCAGCTTCTGTGAGCAAACCAGTCCTCTTCAGAGGCGTGGGTGTGAGCCGTGTTGGCCTGTGTCCACTCAGCTGGGCGTGTGTAACGGCCCCATGAGCTGATGTGTAATGGCTCGTGTGCATCCAGGTGGTGGCGGGGAGGTGGGAGGCAGGCGGAGGGGGGCTGCTGTTAGGGGCAGTGCTGGTGTCGATGCCGCGGCACCCACAGCTCCAGTTCCTTTTGGTCTTCCCCTCGTCTCCTCTCCCCGGAAGTGGGGTGGCAGAGCTGGGGTGTGGGCTGCTCTGAGGTGTCTCTGTACCTCCACATTGACCTCCAGAGAGATGAGGCCAAGCTGCTCCCTGCCAGCAGCAGCCGGGGTCGGTGCCACCCCGCAATGTGCCAGTGTGGGCGGCTTCTGCCCCGCTTTGGTTTTGGACTGTTGAGCAGATGTGTGCTCATGGGTCACGTGTCATGTTGTTTATTTGGTTTTGGAGACAGGATCTCAGTGTCACCCAGGCTGGAGTACAGTGGTGCCATCATCGCTCACTGCAGCCCTGAACTCCTGGGCTCAGGTGACCCTCTGACCTCAGCCTCCCGGGTAACTGGGACTACAGGCACATGCCACCATGCCTGGCTAATTAAGTTTTTTTTTTTTTTTTAAAAGAGATGGGTGGGGTCTCACTGTGTTGCCCAGGCTGGTCTCGAACTCCTGGGCTCAAGTGATCCTCTTGCCTTGGCCTCACAAAGGGCTGGAAGCCATTTCACCCAACCCACATGCTTTTTTTTTTAACGTGGCTGTTTTTGAGGCTGTTCAATCTTTCATTGGATTTCATATTTTCCATCCACCTCCTTACCCAGCAGGCTTGGATCCAGTCATCCAGCCCCCGCTGGGGAGCTCCGGGGCAGGGTTGATGTAGGGCAACCCAGAGGCAATGTGGAGTGACGCCGCCTGCCCCACAGGGACTGAGAGCACATTCAGAGGGGCCTGGCATTCGAGACCTGGGGCAGAGCTGGGCATAGATGGCCTCCTTGAGACCTGATTGTCCCCAGGAGGCTCCAGAGAGGGAGGGCCCAGTGTTCCCGCAGCAGTGCTGGCAGCAGTGGGTAGGGGCTGTGGTGGTGGCTCCTGCTCCCTTGGGATGGTCCCCAGAGGAGGAACCGCTCAGGGCTGGGGCCGTGGTGGGCAGTGAGCTGCTGAAGGGTCTCTCCCTGAGGGCTGCTCGAGTCCAGCCATGTGATTTGGGTCTCAAAATGGAATGTGTGGCCCACCGAGGTGGCTCATGACTGTGGTCCCAGCACTCCGGGAGGTTGAGGCGGCCGATCGCTTGAGCCCAGGGTTTAAGAAAATCCTGGGCAAGATAGTGAGACTGCCATCTCTACAAGACATAAAATAAAAATTTGCCAGGCGCAGTGGTTCACGCCTGTAATCCCAGCACTTTGGGAGGCTGAGGCACGTGGATCATCTGAGGTCAGGAGTTCAAGACCAGCATGGCCAACATGGTGAAACCCCATCTCTACTAAAAATACAAAAATTAGCCGGGCGTGGTGGCAGGTGCCTGTAATTCCAGCTACTCAGGGAGGTTGAGGCATAATAATCGGTTGAACCCGGGAGGCAGAGGTTGCAGTGAGCCGAGATTGTGCCACTGTACTCCAGCTTGGGCGACAGAGCAAGACTCTCTCAAAAAAGAAAAGAAAAAGCAAAAGAAAAGATTAGCTGGGTGTGGTGATACATGCCTGTAGTCCCAGCTACTCAAGAGGCCGACGTGGGAGGATCACTTAAATCCAGGAGGTCAAGGTTGCAGTGAGCCGAGATCGTGCCACTGCCTGGGTGACAGAGCGAGACTCTGACACACACACAACACACACAAGGAATTTGGCAACATGGAGGGGAAGGCATAGTGGAAGGACTGCCCACCCAGCTCCCCGCCTCCTGCATCACAGCCCAGCCCTGAGGACACTTGAGGAGGTGGCTTGGCCTCTGCCCATAGAGCCATTCCGAAGGTGTGTTTAGTTTGTTGCTGTGGGATGTTCCCAGATTGCAGACTGTAGCCATTACAGGGAGCAGCTGCAGCCACTGCCCTCGTCCAACCAGGCCCTTCCCCTTGGGGAGAGAAGCACAAGGCTGCCCACCCACCTGGACACAGGCCCTGGCCTCAGTGCTGGCAAAGGCAGGCCAGGGCAGGGAGGTCCCGTGAGGAAGGACCCCCTGCCTGCAACAGGTGGCTGCAGATGGGCAGGTACCCGAACGCAGTCTCTCCCTGTTTATCTCAGCTTGGGCGGCAGTCAGCAGAATCCCCTGCCAGTGCATGGTTCCTCTGTGGCTACTCACAAAAATACACTTAGGCCGGGCACAGTGGCTCACGCCGTAATCCCAGCACTTTGGGAGGCTGAGGCTGGAGGATCATGTGAGCCCAGGTTTGAGACCAGCCTGGATAAGATAAGAGACCCGGTCTCTACAAAAAATAATTAGCTAGGCACTAATTATTTTATTTTTGGCCTGTGGTCCCAGCTACTCGGGAGGCTGAGGCAGGATGATCTCTTGAGCCTGGGAGATCGAGGCTGCGGTGAGGTAGGATCATACCACTATGATGATGTCGCCTGGGTGACAGTGCAAGATCCTGCCTTATATTTTTTTGAGACAGTTTCACTCTTGTTGCCCAGGCTGGAGTGCAGTGACGTGATCTCCGCTCACTGTAACTTCCACCTCCCAGGTTCAAGTGATTCTCCTGCTTCAGCCTCCTGAGTAGTTGGGATTACGAGCATCCACCACCACGCCCGGCTAATTTTTTTTTTTTTGGCATTTTTAGTAGGATGGATAAGGTTTCCACCCCATTTTGGGCCAGGGCGGCCTGGGTCCGCTCCGAGACCTTCCTGGACCTCCAGGTGGATATTCACCACCTGCCCTTGGTGTCCCTCCTGCCTCCCAAAGTGCTGGAGTACAGGTGTGAGCCACGGCACCTGGCCAAGATCCCTTTTTTTTTTAAAAAAAAAAGAGTCTCACTCTGTTGCCCAGGGGTTAGAATGTAATGGTGTGATCTTGGCTCATTGCAGCCTCCACCTCCCGGGTTCAAGCAATTCTCCTGCCTCAGCCTCCCAAGTAGCTGGGATTACAGGCAGGCGCCACCACACTTGGCTAATTTTTGTATTTTTAGTAGAGACAAGGTTTCATCATGTTGGCCAGGCTGGTCTCAAACTCCTGACCTCAGGTGATCTGCCTGCCTAGGCCTCCCAATATGCTGGGATTACAGGCATGAGCCACCGCGCCCAGCAATCCTGTCATATTTTAATTTTTATTTTTTGTATTTTTGAGACGGAGTTTTGCTCTTGTTGCCCAGGGTGGAATACAGTTGCCCGATCTCAGCCCACTGCAACCTCAGCCTTTTGGTTTTAAGAGATTCTCCTGCCTCAGCCTCCCAAGTAGCTGGGATAACAAGCGCCCGCCACCACGCCTGGCTAATTTTTGTATTTTCAGTAGAGATGGGGTTTCACCATGGTGGCCAGGCTGGTCTCAAACTCCTGACATCGTGATCCACCCACCTAAGCCTTCCAAAGTGTTGCTATTACAGACGAGAGCCACCGCACTGGTCCCAAGATCCTGTCTTTAAAAAGCAACAACAGGCTGGGCGCGGTGGCTCACGCCTGTAATCCCAGCACTTTGGAAGGCCAAGGTGGGTGGATCACGAGGTCAGGAGATCGAGACCATCCTGGCTAACACGGTGAAACCCTGTCTCTGCTAAAAATACAAAAAATTAGCCGGGCATGGTGGCGGGCGACTGTAGTCCCAGCTACTCAGGAGGCTGAGACAGGAGAATGGCGTGAACCCGGGAGGCGGAGCTTGCAGTGAGCCGAGATCGTGCCACTGCACTCCAGCCTGTGCGATGAGCAATACTCCATCTCAAAAAAAAAAAAAAAAACAACAACAAAAAAGGAATTCCCTGTGCATTGGCCGGGAATCGAACCCAGGTCTCCCACATGGCAGGCGAGAATTCTACCACTGAATCACCAATGCCTCAATGAATGTGGGTTTGTCACTGCAGCCCAGGTGGTCACAGGCCTGGCCCTGCCTGTCCAGTCTGGTCTGTTTCGCCGTGGGGAGGGGGCTGCAAGGCTGGGTCAAGGACACTTTCCAGGGCGGTCCTGCTCCTCGGAGGCCTTCACCTCCAATGCTGTCTTGGCCCCAGCTCTCACTGCTTGGTCCTTCCTGGCCCTCGGGGGTCCTTGTCCATCTACCCTGCGGCTGGACCTGCCTCTCCTCCCCCTCCCTCCCTTTCCTCCCCTCCCTCCCTTTCCTCCCCTCCCTCCCTTTCCTCCCCTCCCTCCCTTTCCTCCCCTCCCTCCCTCTCCCCTCCCTCCCTCCCTCTCCTCCCCTCCCTCCCTCCCTCTCCTCCCCTCCCTCCCTCTCCTCCCCTCCCTTTCCTCCTTCCCCTCCCTTTCCTCCCTCCCCTCCCTTTCCTCCCTCCCCTCCTACCGGAATTGGAAGCTTCCCAGGCCGCCTACCCAGACCTACTGAGCCAGAAAGCAGGGGTGGGAGTAGGGGGTGGCCGGAGATGGAGGGGATAGGGCAGGTGCCCAGGATGTCCTCCATTCTGCCCCTCGTGTGCTGGCCCTGAGCTTGGGGGCAACAGCGACAGGACTGGAAAGTTGATAACTTTTTACCACCCTCACCCATCACCACGCGTCCCCTCCCTTTCCCCCAACTCAGAGCCCTCCCCAGGCACAGGAAGGACCTGAAGCTGCTCCTGCAGGGTCCCCAGAGCTTCCTGCCCAGGCTGGGACCCAGCTGTCTGTTTGCATCCTCCCCTGACCCCCTCCTGGCACAGGTTCCCTGGGGTGCCTGGTGTGTGATAAGTAGGGAGCCCCAGTTTTGTGAGTAAGCCTGGGCCGTTGGGACCCATCCTGTCTCCCAGGGCCTGGAACAAAGGCCCAGGTGACCTGGCCACTGCCCTGTCCCTAGCCCTGCCTGCTGGCCCCAGTGATTCTCAGGCAAGGATTGAAGGCTCTCCTATGCCCTGCCAGGGCTTTGGCTCTGACACACCTCTTCCCTTTCATCTTTTGCCAGACAAAGTCTCAGGGCATCAACAGTGCCGGTTTCACAGAGCAGCCTTGGGGAGGGGGAGGGGGAGGCCAGGCTCTGGCTGCCAGAAGCCTGTGGGTGATTGTGTCCCCACTGCCACCTGGAGGCACCCCTTAGCACAGGCCAACTGGGGAAGCTGGTTTGCTGTGGTCTCCCAAAGTGACCTTGGGCAAGTCCCTAGGGGCTCTTCCACTGAGGAAGGCTGGCATTCCAAGGAAGAGCTGTGACCTTCAGTTTTCCAAGTTCAACTGGGCACCAGGCAGAGCCTCTGGTCGTGTACCGTGACCCCTTCCATTTGTGTCCTTCACAGCAGCAGTAGTAGCTACAAGCTGTACAGAGATCATGTACAGCTTGGGCAGGTGGGGCTGGCTGGCTGGCCGGCCTGACTCCCTCTCTGTCCTGTCCCCAGGGTCTATGAATACCAGAGGATCCGGATGCCCACACTCATCAACCACATGCCTGTCAAGATCCGGAGGGCCCACATGGGCATGGGGGTCAGGAGCGGCTTCAGCCCCCAACGGGTCTCCAGGAACAGCCCCCTGCCCTCTGGGCAGAAAAAGTGTGAGTGGGGGCCACAGTCACACCTGCAGTGCTAGGGAGCAGTTGGGTGGCTGCACCAGCTGTCACGGCAGGCCCCGGAGCCCAGCCTGGCCACCAACCCTGCCCCTCTCCCCGCAGTCCCCACCGAGGACCTGCATGACATCCAGGGGGCGCTGTGGCAGATCAAAGCCCAGGTGGACAGTCTGCTGCAGAGCCTGGAGCGCATGGACCGGCAGCAGGTCCCACCCGCAGGTCTGATCCCCATGTTCTGTGGGAGCCCAGCTTTCCCCACTCCTGAAGATGCCCGGTGCCTGGGGCCCTGCCTGTGCCTTTCCCTGTCTTCAGGTCTCCCTCCCCGGAGTACACTCCCCACTCCCCATCCCTGGGCTGTACTTGACTCTCAAGGACTCTTGTGGCTTCTGAGTCACCCCCACCCACTCAGCAACCGCCTGGAGACAGAGCCACACGTCCCAGCCCATCTGTTTCTTGCCCTCTTGAGTCTTAGAGGCCCTAGGTCATTGCTGGGCATTAAGTGGCCTCTCTGGGGTCAGCTGGGGCCTCCAAACCCAGCCATTGACTGATGACCTTCTCTGCACAGCCACAAAGGACAGTGGAAAAAACAGGGGTCCTGGTAGCAAGGGCTCCTCCTGCAGCTCTGAGCCCCCGCAGAAGCCCCGGAGCGAGGAGGCTGGTCCAGAGGCAGATGGCTACGAGGGCGGCACAGACACGGAGTGGACAGTGAGTGACCCGGCCCCGCTGCCCCATCTCCACCGTACTTGTGTTGGGTTCCTTGTGGCCTCCCTGTGAGCAAGGGGGAGGGCCTCTCTGGTAAGTACAGGAGCCCGAGGTAGTGCGGAGGGGGAGGTGTGTCCCCTCTGTCACAGAGTCATGCCCAGTAGGCTGGGCCCCTGTCCTGTTTTCTGCCTCCCAACCCTGGGCTTGGAGGGCTCAGCTGTGCCAGGGTCAGTTCTAGGCTGAAATACCTTCTCCCAGAAGGCAGTGGGGGGACACGGCTGGAGCACCGTAAAGGGAATGTCACAGGTGTGCCCCATGGCCCCAGACCCCTGTCTTGAGACCCAGCTGGAAAGCTTGTCTTGGGTTTCAGCCGGGTTTCAGCCAGGTGCAGGGGCTCACGCCTGTAATCCCAGCACTTTGGGAGGCCAAGGCAGGTGGATCACCTGAGGTTGGGAGTTTGAGACCAGCCTGACCAACATGGAGAAACCCTGTCTCTACTTAAAATACAAAAAATTGGCTGGGCGTGGTGGCTCACACCATTAATCCCACCACTTTGGGAGGCTGAGGCACGTGGATTGCGAGGTCAGGAGTTTGAGACCAGCCTGGCCAAGATGGTGAAACTCCGTCTCTACTAAAAATACAAAAATTAGCTGGGCACGGTGGTGAGCGCCTGTAATCCCAGCCACTTGGGAGGCTAAGGCAGAAGAATCACTTGAACCCATGAGGCAGAGGTTGCAGTGAGCCGAGATCGTGCCACTGCGCTCTAGCCTGGGTGACAGAGACTGCATCTCAAAAAATAATATATTAGCCTGGTGTGGTGGCGCGTGCCTGTAATCCCAGCTACTCTGGAGGCTGAGAGAATTGCTTGAACCCGGGAGGCGGAGGTTGCTGAGCTGAGATCGCACCATTGCACTCCAGCCTGGGCAACAAGAGCAAAACTCCATCTCAGAAAAAAAAAAAAAAAAAAAAAAAACCACCTTCCTGCGCTCTTCCTGCTGCTGCAGGGTTTCTGGCTGCCGCATGGACCATGCCCCCTGGGGAAGCTGTGGCACACTAACCTTCCTGGAACTGGTAACAGCCTTGTGTGTGGCATTAGAGTACCTGAATATTCCCTGCCCATCCAAAACCACCACCTTTTGCTGGTCTGAGGCAGGCCATGCCCGGCCCACAATGGGGCTGGAGCCCTCCCCCATCTACCCACCCAGCTCTGTGTTCGGTCTGCTGGGCTCAGGAGGGCTTTCACTGCTGCCCAGATCCTGAGTCACACCTGTAATATCTGGGAAAAGAATGGCTACATGTAGACGACTGCTTTCTTTAGCCTGGTGGTTCTGAGTTTCTAGGTCTTAGGTAGAATATAGAGAAGCCCTGAGCTGCTAAAGCTCTGGGGAGGAAATGGAAATCGGGGTGTGGGGGAGACTAGATGTTGAGTAGGTGGCCCCCCTTTCCTAGCCTCCCATGCCTCCGGCCCCTCTGCCACTATCCTGCTTTTGTTTTCCCTACAGGTGAAGAACCACGCTGAAGACCAGGCCAGCCAGGAGGCAGCAGGAACCCCTCCAGCCTCATCAGCTCCTGGCATTCTCGGATAGACAGCTCCTTGCCTTGCGTAGGTTTTGAAAGCCACCTTAGCAACCTGAGATGCCTGATCTGGAGCGGGGGCAATGGAAGTGGACACAGGGCTTGCCAGACAAGCAGAGGGCCAACCTGTAGTGGTGGGTTTAGCTTCTTTAGAGGTTGCATTTCGAGATGATGGTCCTGGGACTGACACGGTTAGGAGGTGGCCTGGGACTGCACCAGGTCGCCATCCTCATGAAGCTGAGGCTCTCTTGCAAGGGGCAGATGACAGCCCATCCCCACCCCACCCCCCCCACCCCCACCCCACCCCACCCCCCCCACCCCACCCCACCCCACCCCTCAGAGGGCACCCTCAGCCTTGTCTGAATGCAGACACAGCTGATCTTCACTCCCCTCCCGATGTACCGCCAGTCAACAGATAGCCAACAGCTCTCCCTGAGTTTCCAATCTCCCTGAAACTGCTGGAATGTTCTCAGTGTGTACCCCACACAGCCCTCTTTGGGCTCCATCTACTCTAGGAAGTCACACTTCAGAATTACATTATGTCCTCTCCCCACTGGTGTGATACTATTTCAGACCTGCTCTAGAAAGACACGTTATGTCAGAAGGGAAAAAATAAAATTTGTATTTTTCCTGGTCAGGGGTTCTGGGTGTGGCCCCAGAAACTCATTCTGGTCCTTGGGCTGACCCAGGCCGGCCCTTCCTAGAGAAGCTGAGTGCAGAGAGGGGACCAGGCCGCCTTCCAAATGGCAGTCACCTAGCTTCCTACCATGCAGTCTTGAGCCCAAACCAGCAGAGCTGGTAGCGACACAGGAAAGACCCCACCTCGTGGTGAGTCAGTCAGGTTGTACCTGGCCTTCCTAGCAGTGCACCTGCCCTCTGCGGTGCTGCTCAGGGTCTTCCTTGTAGGACCAGGGTGCCACTTCTCATCAGCCGTGGAGGCTCGGGTTGTGCCATTCTGCACATGGCCAAGGACAGATGGCTTCTACCCAGAGCAAAACCCTTTTCAGCTACCCAGCACCAAGCCAGGTTGGGGCACGAGGTGCACTCAGCGCACTTCTGGGGCCGTACTTTTTTTCCTGAGACGGAGTCTTGCTCTTGTTGCCCAGGCTGGAGTGCAATGGTGCGATCTCCACTCACCGCAACCTCCACCTCCCGGGTTCAAGCGATTCTCCTGCCTCAGCCTCCCGAGTAGCTAAGATTACAGGCATATGCCACCATTATTAGTGCTGGCTAATTTTGTATTTTTAGTAGAGACGGGGTTTCTCCATGTTGGTCAGGCTGATCTCGAACTTCCGACCTCAGGTGATCTCCCTGCCTTGGCCTCCCAAAGTGCTGGGATTACAGGTGTGAGCCGCCGCGCCCGGCCAACTCTCCCTACTCTCGTCGTATCTCAGCAGTTCCCCTAACTCTGGTTCGTGTGGGTGCAGCTGCTCTCCAAATCACAGCGCTCCCATCAGGCTCTGGAGCTCTTTTCAGCCCGTCTCTCCTGTTCACGTGGGCCTAAGGAACAGAACCCGTTTAAGGCAATGCCGCCGCGACCCTTGACACCTGGGATGCAAGAACAAAAGAGCCTTGCTCTCTTAAATCCCGGACCAAGAAGAACCACACCATAAGACGTTTTTCAAATATAAAAGGGTCTTTCTTTTGGCTCAGACACAGAAGGCACAGTCGTCTTGTCCATCCTCTGAAAAGTCGCCCAGTTATATCGGAGGGGGTCACTGGCTGGCCTGAATGACAGCAGCTCTAGGTACCAGCTTCCAGGTAAGTCCAGCTAAAGTTTCCAACTTGGGAGTCGGGATGCGCTCACAGGTTTCCTCAACTGGGTCGAAGCTAAGAGCCGGCTCAAGTAAAGTTCCTTTAACGAGGTTTGTAAAAACCCTTTCCAACACCACAGCTGTCCGGCGCCTTGGCTCTGCTAGGGCCTACCCAGGTGCTCTCCAGGGCTCCGGCTGCTTATCTCGACGCAGGCTGGAGGCCGACGGCGCGGGTCTTTTCAGGGACGGCGGCAGCAAGGTCCTCGGCTTGCGTCCGTCGTTGCTCAGGCTTCTAGTTCAGGGCTGGGCGGCGGCGCCCCTGCGGCGCGCCGCCCGCACCAGGCTCTGCTGCAGCACGGGGTAGAGGCGCTGGCAGCCCTCGAGGCCCAGGCGTACGGCCTCCGCCCAGCTCTCGATCAGGCCGCCCTCGCCGCTGCCCAGCAGCCCGGCCACCTGATTCAGCACAGGCATGAGCGCCACGGTGAGGCCGGCGGCGGCGCGCTCTTCCTCTAGCCGCGTGGGGTCCAGCAGCCAAGTGGGCGCGGGCCCCGGCGCGAGGCTCAGGCCACAGCCCACCACCAGATCGTACATCTCAACGCCCGCGTCGGCCAGGGCGAGCGCGGCGGCGGTGAGCGCGGCGGCCAGGGCCGAGCCGCCGTCCTCCAGCAGCAACGCCGACACCTCGAGTTGCGCGCGCGGGTAGCGGCCCAGGCGCACGGCCGGCTCCAGTGCCTCCTGCAGCGCCAGCGCCAGCTCACGCTCCTCGCCGCCGCCCGGGGGAGCGCGGCGCCGGCGGCCCGCGAAGGGCGCGCGGCGGAAGTCGCACAGCAGGCGACCGCGCAGCGCGGCCGGGGCTTCGCCGCCAGATCCGGCCGGGCCGCCGCCGCGCTCGCCTCCCTCGGCCTGTCGCGGGCCCGACACTGCACACAGCACCTTTGTGCCTCCCGCCTCCAGGTAGGCCGAGCCTTTGGCCTGGCTCAGCAGCCCGGCGCGCGCATACACGGGCCGCAGTCGCGTTGGGTCGCGGGCGGCGGGCGCCTCCTCCTCGTCGGCCGCGTACAGCTGCGGCGGCTGCGACTCTTCAGGGCCGCGGATGCGGCGGTGGTCCCCGGGCATGGCGGCTCCTGGCGTGAGAGCCGCTTCCGCCCAACGCACTGCCGCACCCACTGGTTCTTCCGTTGCTTAAAGACGCGCGCCTGCGTGAGGGTTGTCGGGAGAGTGACGGGCGGCGCTACAGCGCCTGCTGGAGGCTCGGAGGGAGAACGGCCGGCGTCCCTGGCGCCCTGGTCCCACTTGTGCAGGGCTGCCTGATCCATCCCTCCTGCTGGAAGGGAGCGGGAGAGCAGCTCCAAGGCTTCTCTGCTTCCACTAACCCCACCCATCTACTGAATTATGAACGCCTTGCTCCATGTCACCCTATTTGGCCTCAACCTCCACAAACGTTTGAGGCAACCCCAGGGGCTTTTCCCAAAATTTAGGGTTCTGGGGCTGGACTAGGTGAACACTACAGCAGCCAGTATAAGCCACAGCATTTATTCTACAGACAGCAGGGGCCAAGGGCTGTCAAAACAGCGAGCTCCACCTGGGAAGAGGGATAGAGATCATATAGCATTAAGTATTGCACGTGGTCCTTTTATTCTCTGCAGCAAAAAACGATTCGTCCTTGCTGACGCGGAAAGCTCAGGCTGGAAAGCTGTTATCTACAGATGCGAGTGTGGTGATCAACAGCAATGCGGGGGTAGTGGTTCTCGACAGATGGCACTGACGTGGAGGGCTCAGGGCAGAAGTATAAGGGGCGCTGAGTCACAGGACTGCTCGTGAGGGTGTTCCAGGTACAGCCGGGGTAGGAGGGGCTCTCAAAAGGTCCCAGGATTCAAATGTTCTTGTAGCAGATGAAGAGCTCCCGGCTGGACGGATGGAGCCAGTAGAAGCCACCTCCTCCCCCGCTCAGTTCTTTACATCCCCGAGGCGCAGCTGGGCGAAGGAAGTGGCCAGCTGCAGCGCCTCCTGCAGGCAGCCAATGTTTTTGCCTGTGGCCTGTGCAGACACATCCTTGCCCCCACCTTTACCGTCCATCAGGCCTGACACCTGCTGTACCCACTCGCTGGCTTTTAAGCCCCGATTGGCTGCATTCTAGAAGAAAGAAAGGGAAGGGGGAAGTCAGGACAGAAAATGGGATTGAGGGAGGAGCCATCACCCACTCCTTTGCCCTGGGTGATACTGCTGGAGGCCGAGACAGACTTTACGGCTAGTGCAGGGGGCAGTCATGGCCCCTGCCAGGACAGGACAGAGTGGCAAAGCCAAGTATCAACCAGACAGATGCAACCAGTGAGGAGGCCTGGGTAAGAGGTACTGGCAAAGGTGACCAACAGGCAGGCAGGAGACAGGCTCTTTTAAATGCAGGTTGTACACACACAGGCCTCAGCAAACAAGCTTAAGACCCAACACTTCCCACTGGTGCAAGGTGGTTCTGACCTGAGGGACTTGACACAGGCAAGTGATCTTGCCAGCCTCGTTGTCCACCGTGAAGAGCATGGCAGATGTCTGAGGGGAGTGTGTCTTGAAGAGCTTCAAGGCTTCATTCAGGGCCTGTGGGGAGGACCTGGCTCAGACCATGGTGCTGGAGCAGGGACCCTCACTAGTGTGAGCATTTGCAGCCCTCAGAAGGACCGCCACCCACCGCCACCCCTTCCCAGAGCAGATGTAGTCCTCAGGGCCTGGGTGGAGGACCCCAGTGTAGGGCCCTGCCCACACCCTGGCCCAGGTGTGCCTCCCACATGCAGGGAGCTGCTGCTCCTCCCACCCTTAATCCCAGACAGTGGGCCCTTAGGCAACCACTTGGCTCAGAGCCACAGAGGTCACATATCAGCCACCAAAGGGCTGATGTGCCCCAGGGGAGGGGGCCCCGGCCCCTGCCTTGGCTGAGGCACCGCTCTCCATCTCCAGGATGACGAGGGGCTGGTTGGGGTTGCTGTCGATAAGCTGCTTTGTCTTCTCTAACACCTGCAAGAAAAAAGTCCAGAAGAGCAGCTCAGACCAAAAGCACAAGCCGCAAACCCCTGGCTGTATCCTGCCGGCCTTTGCCTAGGAAACACTCTGGCCACCGGTGCTGCCCGGACTCACTCGTTTCTGGACATCGGCTTTGCTGGCTCGGTCTAGGTCATCCATGACCTTCTTTAGGGATTTGAGAGTCTCCCGCAATTCGTCCTTCTGCCACTGGGGGATGACTGCACTGGCCAGGGCCTGGAACGAGAACCAGAAGACCATCTGAATCTGGGCCACAACTTGCTGGGATGTCAGGGTCAAGCCCACCCCACCTGAACCCAAGTCCTCCCTGACTAGTGTCCTGGAAAGGAAAGCAAAAACACAAAGCTGTCTTCTGGCTTTGAGACCAGTCCCTTCTGGAGCAGCTGCGGCAGGTAAAACAAGGAGGGCTAGAGAGAAAGGAACAGTAGAAAGCTGGGCTCCAAGTCAGGCCTAGTCCTTACCAGGCTGGGAACAGCCTGTGATGAGCTTCCTGGCAGCTTAAAATGCAAATAAATGCCAGGCAGGCTTGGAAGCAGGGGGCAGACTTTTCCCCTTCTCCAAATCCCTCCACCCCAGTGCCCACACATGCTTGGGAAGAGCTCTCCTGCTAGCAGCAATGGGGGCAGCAGGGAACCTCCAGGGTCCAAGGCCAGGATCGATGGGGTCCCTGCTACAAGGCTACAGGACAACAGAAGTCAGCCCAAAGGCCCATTCCACCAAGAACCAGGGACTGACTGACTATAGATTTACTGAAGCCAGGGCATGTCTCATGCGTCAGGCCCTGAGGAGGGAGGGAAGCCACCCCTACCTCTCCAAGGTCAGCGATCTCCCTCTGCACATCCTTGTTTGGAGCAGTCTGGGCCTTCACTTTGGCTTCCATGACAGAGAGAGATTTCTTCAAGCTCTCTGCTTTCCTGAGGGCCTGGGAGGGGACACCCGGTCAACCCCAGGTAGGAGGCCTGAGTCAGCCTCACTATCCTGGGTCTGAGCGGCTGCCCCAGTGGTAGGCCCTGCAGCAACACACCCCAAAAGTGTCTGTGGGGAGCAGGTACTGGCAGCATCAGGCCCCAGCAAGGAGCACAGTGCTCACAGGCCCACTGGCAACGGCTGTACCCAACTCTGACTTGGGGATGATCAAGCTCGAGAATCAGGAACCCCATCACCCAGGAAGTGGCTAACCCTGGGGCTTTAGCACAAGTCAGACACACCAGTTCCCATGACAGAGCACCCATCCTCTACTGCACGGCCTCAAACTAAGCACGCCCCTAGGGGTACATGGATCAGTGCCGGGGGCCCTGAAGCCACAGCGAATCTATGTCTTACACCCTCTTCCACATGGAGATAAGAGGGGGTAGATAGCCAGATTTACATATATTTTAAGACTAAACACAGGAAAGCTAGGAAATCTTCTGTGGTGGCAGGTTTCTTCTGCGAAGCAGGGGTAGGACACTGGGGCAGGGGGAATGGCCCAGTCTCCACTTTCACTCTGACTGCAGCAGCCATGCAGAGCACTGTTTGCTCTATGGATTCGCAGACTGGGCTCCTCTTGCCCTCTTCAGATAAGCCACAAACCAGCCTGACCTGCTCACCTTCTGGGCTTCGGCACCCGTGACAGCCACGATCCTCCGGATACCCTTGGCGATGGCTTCTTCCGTCACAATCACAAAAGCTCCTGCGTGACTTGAGTTCCGCAGGTGCCTGAATAGCAGAAAACAAAGGTCGTGGTGAAAGAGGTCCTTGGCAGCCCTTGGCTGGGGGTCCCACTAGCGGACAAGAGAAGCAGGAATGGGTTGAAAGTCAGGGAAAGCCTGGGCTTGGGAGTGTTCTGACACCGAGCAAGACACCAGCTGACCAAGCCTGAGTGTTCTCAGCTCTCAGATGGGGATGATGCTCCCCACGTAGCTGCTATGAAAATCAAATGAGGCAAACAGCAAAGTCCTTTGTAGTCCCTAATATCCAATACAGTCTTACCATTAGGCTCTACGTGACAGTTTTGGTCCTGTGGTGGAACTTACGCTCTATTTTTGTATTCCTGTTCATTAGGGGACAATTTGAGGACTGCTGTTAAAATCTTACCACAACCCCTTGAACAAATAGGCTTTATTTCAGTTGTTCAGAGAACCTCAAATGCTTATTAAAATTTCATCCTCATTCTTTGACAGTGGTATAAAGATTTTTTTTTTTTTTTTTGAGACAGAGTCCTGTTCTGTTGCCCAGGCTGCAGTGCAATGGTGCAGTCGTGGCTCACCACAACCTCTACCTCCCGGGTTCAAGTGATTCTCCTGCCTCAGCCTCCCAAGTAGCTGGGAAACAAGCACCTGCCACCACTCCTAGTTAATTTTTGTATTTTTAGTAGAGACAGGTTTTCACCATGTTGCACAGGCTGGTCTTGAACTCCTGACCTCAAGTGATCCACCTGCCTCAGCCTCCCTAAGTGCTGGGCATGAGGCACCGCACCCAGCCCTTGTATAAAGTTTTTGAAAGCTGTTTCCTGCCCAATTCAGCTGGGCAGAAAAGCCTGTAACTCAATCCCCCAGACCCCTACCCTATTCTGCACATCCCACTTGCTCCCTGCCTGCCAGAGGCCTGCAGGGGACCTTGGACTGTCTCATCCATGACATTAAGAATGTTCTTTTTGGCCGGGCGCGGTGGCTCAAGCCTGTAATCCCAGCACTTTGGGAGGCCGAGACGGGCGGATCACGAGGTCGGGAGATCAAGACCATCCTGGCTAACATGGTGAAACCCGGTCTCTACTAAAAAATACAAAAAAGCCGGGGCTCAGTGTAATCCAGCACTTGGAGGCCGAGACGGGGATCACGAGGTCGGAGATCGAGACCATCCTGGCTAACAGGTGAAACCCATCTCTACTAAAAATACAAAAAACTAGCCGGGCAGGTGGCGGGCGCCTGTAGTCCCAGCTACTCAGGAGGCTGAGGCAGGAAATGGCGTAAACCCGGGAGGTGGAGCTTGCAGTGAGCTGAGATCCGGCCACTGCACCCAGCCTGGGCGACAGAGCGAGACTCCGCTCAAAAAAAAAAAAAAAAAAAAAAAAAAAAAAAAAAAAAAAAAAAAAAAACTAGCCGGGCGAGGTGCGGGCGCCTGTAGTCCCAGCTACTCGGGAGGCTGAGGCAGGAGAATGGCGTAAACCGGGAGGCGGAGCTTGCAGTGAGCTGAGATCCGGCTACTGCACTCCAGCCTGGGGGCAGAGCGAGACTCCGTCTCAAAAAAAAAAAAAAAAAAAGAATGTTCTTTTTGGCCCGGTGGCTCACACCTGTAATCTCAGCACTGTGGGAGGCTGAGGTGAGTGGGTAACCTGAGATCAGGAGTTCATGACCAGTCTGAACTCGTGGAGAAACCCTGTCTCTACTAAAAATACAAAATTAGGCCAGGCACAGTGGCTTACACGTGTAATCCCAGCATGTTTGGAGGCTGAGGTGTGTGGATCATGAGGTCAGGAGATCGAGACCATCCTGGCTAACGTGGTGAAACCCTATCTCTACTAAAAATACAAAAAATCAGCTGAGCGAGGTGGCGGGCGCCTGTAGTCCCAGCTACTCGGGAGACTAAAGCAGGAGAATGCCGTGAACCGGGGAGGCAGAGTTTGCAGTGAATCGTGATCAAGCCATGTGCACTCCAGCCTGGCAACAGAGCGAGGCTCCGTCCTAAACAAAATTTGCTGGGCGTAGTGGCAGGTGCCTGTAATCCCAGCTACTCGGGAGGCTGAGGCAGAAGACTCACCTGAACCCTGCAGGCGGAGGTTGCAGTGAGCCAAGATGGAGCCATTGCACTCCTGCCTGGGCAACACGAGCGAAACTCTCTCAATAAAAAAGAATGTTCTCTTCCTGGCTGGGCATGGGGGCGCATGCCTGTAGTCCCAGCTACTTGGGAGGCTGAGGCATGAAAATCGTTTGGCAGTGAGCTGAGACTGTGCCACTGCACTCTACCCTGTGGGACACAGCAAGACTCCGTCTCAAAAAAAAAAAGAAAATTCTTTTGATAAGGCTTCATTTGGGGCCGGGCGCAGCGGTTCAAGCCTGTAATCCCAGCACTTTGGGAGGCCGAGACCATCCTGGCAAACACACAGTGAAACCCCGTCTCTACTAAAAAAAATACAAAAAACTAGCCGGGCAAGGTGGCGGGTGCCTGTAGTCCCAACTACTCGGGAGGCTGAGGCAGGAGAATGGCGTAAACCCGGGAGGCGGAGCTTGCAGTGAGCTGAGATCCAGCCACTGCACTCCAGCCTGGGTGACAGAGCAAGACTCCGTCTCAACCAAAAAAAAAAAAAAGGCTTCATTTGGAAGCAGGAACTTTCCAGGCTACCATGACCTTCCCAGAAAGGCCCAGAGAGCTACAGAGGAATCCAAATTGGCAGAAGTGGCTATCCCATGCCGAACTGAGCTGGGTCAAGCATGTAGCCTGCTCAGGGGCTCTGAGACAATAGAGCTACATTCCCGAGATGCCGCCCAAGCTGTCAAAGGAAATTAGGTGAGATACCAGGAACGGAAAGGGCTAGGACCACATCAGGAGCTCAGCGAGCACTCCAGGCCTTGCTGAATCCCAAATTCACACTAGCCTTCTTGTTAGTTTCAGCCCAGCAAATAGCAGCAAGCAACTGCATGGTAAGTGTGAATACAATGTTTTCCACCTTATCCTCCTGGGAATGATTCGTCAGCAGATGTTAACATCAGATACGGGAGGTCTAATGAGCACAATAGAAGGCTGAGATTCTTGGGAACACTATTTAGCAACTGCATTTCTGAGGACTTCACTGCAACCTTAGAAAGACGAGAGTTGTTCTAGCCTAAGACCTACATCCTCAGAAGGTGATGGCAGATGACCCCTCTACTCTGCCCCTCCATGGTACTCACGTTCCCCCACAAAACTCAACAGAAGTCAGGGAGCCGGCAGGCCCAGAGGGGTCACCCAGCAGCTCAGACACCGGGACTCCAATGGAGACGACTCGCACAGGGTCAGGATAAGTCTCATCAAACACAGCCCGTAGGCCCTGGATGGCTTTTGCTGCCGCCAGGGGGCAATCCTGAGTGTAGACGGGCTGCCAGACAAAGACAGAAAAGAGCTGGAAGAGATCCCTGGAGGTGCGGTATGACAAGGCAGGAGAGCATGGTCCTGCAGGCAGGACTCGCGTTCCGACCTGGCTCTGCCTGGCACGTGCCATGAGCGTCCTGAATCACACACCACATGCAAAGTCAAGGGCATCAGTTTGGGAATTTCCAACTATTTTGTTTAACTGTGGACCAAATCTTATATGTGAACAGACTTAACTAGAATAGCTCTGGTTCTCCTAAGGTGGGGGTCGGACAAAGGCCTCTCCCTCTCCCCTTCAGCAACCACCACCACTGCCCCGCACTGCCCCCTACAAAAGCACAGGTGAAGAATCACTGCTTTAAGCAAATCTACATGCAGGACGAATCTGGTAAAAACGGAGAGCACCGCCCTGCTGAGACTGTGGACAGACAGTGATGGTGCGGGGAGGGGAGGCGTTCGGCCGTCGCCCATCCTACCTTGGCTGCCTCAATCATCTCATTAGCAATCTCTTCAGCCTTCTTGATCTGTTGGGTGGACATGGCTCCCTTGGCAGTGAAGTCAAATCTAAGGCGGTCAGGAGCAACCAGTGAGCCTTTCTGGTCAGCTTCCCCAAGCACTGAGCGCAGGGCAAAGTTCAGAATGTGCGTAGCTGTGTGGTTGCTCATGATGGGTCTTCGTCGGGGCTGGAAAGGGCAGAAGGGCTCATGGAGAGGTCTGTAATAGACTGCTAGTTATCTCCCGGTACCTGCACCCCCAAGTGCTACAATTTTTTTTTTTTTTTTTTTTTTTTGAGACGGAGTCTCGCTCTGTCGCCCAGGCTGGAGTGCAGTGGCCGGATCTCGGCTCACTGCAAGCTCCGCCTCCCGGGTTCACGCCATTCTCCTGCCTCAGCCTCCTGAGTAGCTGGGACTACAGGCGCCCGCCACCTCGCCCGGCTAGTTTTTTGTATTTTTTAGTAGAGATGGGGTTTCACCATGTTAGCCAGGATGGTCTCGATCTCCTGACCTCGTGATCCACCCGTCTCGGCCTCCCAAAGTGCTGGGATTACAGGCTTGAGCCACCACGCCCGGCCCAAGTGCTACAATTTTTAGTTGGAAATATGACTGTGCAGAATAAAGGTTACACTTCCCAGCTTCCCTGTGGCTAAGTGTGGCCATGTGACTAACTTCTGGTCAACAGGTTTTGAGCAGAAGTGCTGTCTACCATTAAAGGGATGGGACAGGTCGTCCCATTTCTTTTCCACCACCTAGAACAAGAATTCTCAAACGATGGCCTATGGCTAAATCTAGCCTGTCATCTGTCTTTTCATTTTTAGAGACAGTCTTGCTCTGTTACCCAGGATGGAGTGCAGCAGCGCAATCATAGCTCAGTGCCACCTCAAACTCCTGGGCTCAAGCGATCCTCTTGCCTCAGCCTCCCAAGTAGCTGGGACTACAGGTACACACCACCACCCCCAACTAATATTTTTTATTTTTTGTAGAGATGGGGTCTCATGTTGTTGCCCAGGCTGGTCTCAAACTCTTGACCTCAAGCAATCCTCCCGCCTCAGCCTCCCCAAATGTGTGTGTTTATAAATTTTTATAAAGTTTTTTTTTTTTTTTTTTTTTTTAAATATGGAGTTTTGCTTTTGTTGCCCAGTCTGGAGTGCTATGGTGCGATCTCAGCTCACTACAACCTCCACCTGCTGGGTTCAAGCAATTCTCCTGCCTTAGCCTCCCGAGTAGCTGGGATTACAGGCATGCGCCAGCACACCCGGCTACTTTTGTATTTTTAGTAGAGACAGAGTTTCTCCATGTTGGTCAGGCTGGTCTCGAACTCCAGACCTCAGGTGATCCGCTCGCCTTGGCCTCCCAAAGTGCTGGGATTACAGGCATGAGCCACTGCGCCCGGCCATAAACAAGTTTACAGCAGACACACCTGTTCGTTTACGTATGGTCAATGGCTACTTGTACACTCCAACCAAAGAGCTGAGTAGCCATGACCAAAAGCATGTGGTCCACAAAGCCAAAAATATTTAGTATCCAGTTATTTAAACAAAGTTTGCCAACCCCTGGCTTAGACAGTGGATCTGATAGCTATCCTCTGAACCAGGAAATCAAAGGCAACGCCCCAGGAAAGAAGTTGGAGTGACAGGTGAGGAGAAGCCAGGCCCTCTGACTCTGTGGGGCAGAGCCTCCATATCAGCTTGAGCTTTTCAGAACATACACTGCTATTCTGTTTTAAGCTACTCTTACTCTGGAGCTCTGTCACATGCCACAGAGCCTACCTCTTCATTCTTCAGCATCCTTGGCTCCTGATGAAAGTAGGTAAGATTAGAAAAGCAATCCATGGCCGGGCGCGGTGGCTCAAGCCTGTAATCCCAGCACTTTGGGAGGCCGAGGCGGGTGGATCACGAGGTCAGTAGATCGAGACTATCCTGGCTAACATGGTGAAACCCCGTCTCTACTAAAAATACAAAAAACTAGCCAGGTGTGGTGGCAGGCGCCTGTAGTCTCAGCTACTTGGGAGGCTGAAGCGGGAGAATGACGTGAACCCGGGAGGCGGAGCTTGCAGTGAGCCGAGATCACGCCACTGCACTCCAGCCTGGGAGACACAGCGAGACTCCGTCTCAAAAAAAAAAAAAAAAAAAAAAAAAAAAAAAAAAAAAAAAAAAGAAAAGCAATCCATGAAAGCAAGTCCACAGGATCTTAACTGAAATCACTGGTGAAATCACTGACTTGGGAACATACAGATTAACTCTTAGTTGCATCCCTCACAATCCACCAAATGCACTGAAATTAACCTCTGCGGTCTACTTACAATGTCACTAGGGAGTGATAACAGTGACAGGACAATTTAAAGCCAGAGGAGAAGGTGATAACTAACCAAATCCAATGGGGGCCACAGTAACCCAACTCACCTCATCAATAAACAACCGGACCTGATCTCCCACTTTCAGGTCACCGTAGATCGTTCCGATGTGTAGCACATACCCTCCTCGGACCTGAGCATTCTTCACCGTAAACTCTGTTTTCTAAGAGGGGTCAAGGAGGAGAGCAATAAATAAATCCTTAAAAATATATAAATTTTCTTCTATTTTCAATATAAATTCATGTATATAAAAAATTCTCTTTACATATGTAAATTGTACACACACACATATTCCATTAAAATTATTAAACATAATTAAATAGGCCAGGTGCAGTGGCTTATGCCTGTAATCCCAGCACTTTGGGAGGCTAAGACAAGTAGATCACCTGAGGCCAGGAGTTTGAGACCAGCCTGGCCAACATGGTAAAATCCCATTTCTACTAAAAAAAATACAAAAATGAGCCACGTATGATGGCAAGTGCCTATGATTCCAGCTACTTAGGAGGCTGAGGCAGGAGAATTGCTTGAACCCAGGAGGCAGAGGTTGCAGTGAGCCAAGATCGTGACACTGCACTCCAGCCTGGGCTACAGAGCGAGACTCCATCAAAAAAAAAAAAAAAAAAATCTATTTGTGCACACACACAGACACACACGATATTAAGAAGCATCTTAGATTTTTTTTTTTTTGAGACAGTCTTGCTCAGTCGCCCAGGCTGGAGTGCAGTGGCGCAATCTCAGCTCACTGCAACCACCGTCTCCTGGGTTCAAGCGATTCTCCCCTATCAGCCTCCCGAGCAGCTGGGATTACAGGCATCCGCTGTTATGCCCAGCTAATTTTTGTAGTTTAGTAGAGACAGGGTTTCACCATGTTGGCCAGGGTGGTCTCAAACTCCTGACCTCGGGTGATCCACCTCGGTCTCCCAAAGTGCTAGGATTACAGGCATGAGCCACTGTGCCCAGCCGCATTCTTAGAATATTTAAAAGCTTCCATAAAGAACCTGAAGCCTAGGGAGACAAAGTAACTCATTCAGCAGCAGCAGAGCTCTAGGCTGAGTTTTCTACAAGGACACCTCCCCTTCAGAGAGCTGCCTCTCCTTTTTAAGGTGCAAAGCTTGTAGGAAACTTGCACCCTGGCTGCAAAAATATTTCTATGAGGGTACCCAGTGGCCAGGAAAGCAACAGGTACAAGCAGCAGCTCCCTCAGCTTCAGAAATACTGACCATGGAACCCAACCCAAAGGGGTGTCAGGACTGCTCCCAAGGCCTGGAGCACTGTGGGGCAAGAGCAGCTCCCTGGCTCCATGCCTGACCCTCCTCGGCTAACAAGGAAGAAGAACTGTTGGCTCACATCCTCGCTGCTGTCATCCACCTTCACCAGGTAGCCTTCGTCATAGATCTGCCCTCCTTGCTCAGCATAGAAACAGGTCTTGTCCAGCACCACTCCACACTCCTGGCCTGTGGACACCTCTTCCACGAACATCTTCTCCCTGCGCAGAGCCATCACTGTAGCCACTGTGTTCTCAAATACTGCTCGAGGGAATGCACAGAAAGGGGACAGTGGGTCAATGACCTTTTCATGCCTTCTTAGCAGACTTTTGCTGGATTCTCTTTCTCAAACTCTTCTTAGCTCCAAATTGTCCAATTGTATTTTGGAAGCAAACCCATTAGACTATGAAAGGGCTTCGCAGCCGGCGCAGTGGCTTGCCCTGTAATCCCAGCACTTTGTGAGGCTGAGGTGGGCGGATCACGAGGTCAGGAGATCAAGACCATCCTGGCTAACACAGTGAAACCTCGTCTCTACTAAAAATACAAACCATTAGCCTACCATGGTGGTGGGTGCCTGTAGTCCCAGCTACTTGGGAGGCTAAGGCAGGAGAATGACGTAAACCCGGGAGGCGGAGCTTGCAGTGAGCCTAGATCGCGCGACTGCACTCCAACCTGGGCGACAAAGCAGCAAGACTCCATCTCAAAAAACGAAACAAAACAAAACAACAGCAAAAAAAAGGGCTTCCCATCAAAGAATGCAACACTCTGTCAGGTGACCAACTGTCCCAATTTTTAGGGCTGAGGGGTTTCCTGGGATGCAGACTTTCAGTGTTAAAATTGGGACATTGGGTTACCCTAACTCTGAGCTACTGAGCAGAAACTTAGTGCATGAGATTAGTGGATCTGTAAGAGTAGTTATAGGCCAGGCGCGGTGGCTCAGGCCTGTAATCCCAGCACTTTGGGAGGCCGAGGCGGGTGGATCACAAGCTCAGGAGATGGAGACCATCCTGGCTAACATGGTGAAACCCCGTCTCTACTAAAAATACAAAAAATTAGCTGGGCGTGGTGGCAGAGGCCTGTAGTCCCAGCTACTCGGGAGGCTGAGGCAAGAGAATCGCTTGAACCCGGGAGGCAGAGGTTGCACTGAGCCGAGATCACGCCACTGCACTCCAGCCTGGGTGACAGAGTGAGACTCTGTCTCAAAAAAAAAAAAAAAAAAGAGTGGCAATAAATTCCCCTAGTCCAAGGTCAACTCATAAAAATATACTCATTTTGTAGGCTCGCTTGAATAGATTCAGGTATAATATTGTTCTCGGCTGGGCATGGTGGCTCACACCTGTCATCCTGGCACTTTGGGAGGCCAAGATGGGTGGATAACCTGAGCTCAGGATTTCGAGACCAGCCAGGCCAACATGGTGAAACCCCATGTCTACTAAAATATAAAAATTAGACGGGCATGGTGGCACATGCCTGTAATCCCAGCTACTTGGGAAGCTCAGGCAGGAGAATCGCTTGAAGCTGGGAGGCAGAAGTTGCAGTGAGCCAAGATTGCGCTACTGCACTCCAGCCTGGGTGACAGAGCGAAACGCCATCTAAAAAAAAAAGATTGTTTTCTACCAGGGCAAGAAAGCAGCAAAAATATGTATTGCCAATTTATTTTTTTGAGGCAGGGTCTTACTCTGTAGCCCAGGCTGGAGTGCAGTGGCACAAATATGGCTGACTGCAGCCTCAATCTCCCAGGCTCAAGTGATCCTCCTGCCTCAAGCCCACAAGTAGCTAGAACTACAAGCGTGCGTCACCACACCCAGCTAATTTTTGTATTTTTGGTAGAGACATGGTTTTGCCACGTTGCCCAGACTGGTCTCACACTCCGGAGCTCAAGTGATCCACCCCCGCTCACATTCCAAAGTGCTGGGATTACAGGCATGAGCCACTGCACCAGCTTTGTTTCTTAACATTAGAATACTATTATCCAGCCGGGCGAGGTGGCTCCCCCCTGTAATCCCAGCACTTTGGGAGGCCGAGGCAGGCAGATCAAGAGGTCAGGAGTTCGAGACCAGCCTGGCAAACATGGTGAAACCCCATCTCTACTAAAAATACAAAAATTAGCTGGGCATGGTGGCATGTGCCTGTAATCCCAGCTACTCAGGAGGCTGACGCAGGAGAATCGCTTGAATCCAGGAGGTGGAGGTTACAGTGAGCCAAGATCATGCCATTGCACTCCAGCCTGGGCAACAGAGCTACATTCCATCTCAAGAAAAAAAAAAAAAAAAAAGAATGCTATTCGGATAATAGCATTCTAATAGCATTAGGATAATAGAATCCTAATACCATTCTTTTTTTTCCAAGATGGAGTTTCACTCTTGTTGTCCGGGATGGAGTGCAATGGCATGATCTCGCCTCACTGCAACCTCTGCCTCCCAGGTTCAGGTGATTCTCCTGCCTCAGCCTCCTAAGTAGCTGGGATTACAGGCACGCACCACCACACCCAGCTGATTTCCGTATTTTCAATAGAGACAGGGTTTCACCATGTTGGTCAGGATGGTTTCAAACTCCTGCCTTAGGTGATCCACCTGCCCTGGCCTCACAAAATGTTGGGATTACAGGTGTGAGCCACAGCACCAGGCCCCTAATAGCATTCTAATAGTTACTGTGGATTGTATCAATGTCAACTGCCCAGTTTCCTGCATGATGTTACAATTAGAGGAAACTGGACAAAGGGTGTGAGACCCTTCCTACAATTTTTTTTTTTTTTTGAGACGGAGTCTCGCTCTGCTGCCCAGGCTGGAGTGCAGTCGCCGGATCTCAGCTCACTGCAAGCCGCGCCTCCCAGGTTTACGCCATTCTCCTGCCTCAGCCTCCCGAGTAGCTGGGACTACAGGTGCCCGCCACGTTGCCCGGCTAGTTTTTTGTATTTTTTTTAGTAGAGACGGGGTTTCACTGTGTTATCCAGGATGGTCTCGGCCTCCCAAAGTGCTGGGATTACAGACTTGAGCCACCGCGCCCGGCCTTTTTTTTTTTTTTTCCACAACTTCCCGTGATGATAATTATTTCAAAAGAGAGCTAAGAAAACTTCCAGCCAAGGGTGCCTGTGTGTATAGAAGTGCATAGCGTGACTGTACGGCACTCCAGGAGAGGCTGTCAGCAGTTTGCTGGATAGCTAATCTTGAGAAACAATTTTTCAAACACCCTCCAGATATGGGGCAGAATGCTCAGAAGTGGAAGGAGCAGAGCACCATACCGTAGCTACCACTGAAGTCCAAATGGTAATTGTACTTTGGGGAATCATCTGTAACCTCCAGACCCCGTGCCCGGAGCTCTTCGATAGCGTAAATGTCCAGCATAATGAGATCTTCCCCACCGGCTCCCTTGCCCTGTGATTTCAGCTGTCAGCAAGAGAAACAAGTGTAAGTTACACTACAGTAGGAGAAAAGGGATTCCAAAGGACTGGAACTGGCTAAACTATGCCCGGCATAAACTGCCAGAACAGGGTTTTTCAATCCTGGCACTACTGACATTTGGGGCCAGATCATTCTCTGTTGTGGAGGATCCTCTTGCAGTGTGGGATGCTGAGCGGCACCCTGGCCTCTACCAAGTACATGACAGCAGGATCTGCCCCTGGTTGTGAAAACCAAAAATGTCTTCAGACATTACTGCCAATTGCCCCCTGGAAGGCACACTCGCCCCCGCTTATGAACCACTGGTCTAGGGGAAAAAGGACTTCAAAGACTTTAATGGAAGGAAACTCATGCTCGGTCTGCAGCCAAGTGGTGCTGAGTTGGAAGGTGCTGGGTTTCCTGCTCACTCTCCAAGTTCTTTACCTGGGCCAGTTTCCTCTCCTCTTCAAAGCCATCCATGTCTACCACCAGGCCCTTCTCTTCAGCAATCAGTCCAGTCAGATCCACTGGAAACCCATAGGTGTCATAGAGGAGCCAAGCAGTGTCTCCTACACAGCACAAAGGAGGTGTGTCAAAAAACACAGATGGCCCCTTTTCCATGCCAAGTCCTCCAAGAGGATGCTGGGATTGGCAGAAGGAATTAAAGAGATAAGGCCAGTCAGTATCGGCCCTGGGTGCCCATCAGAAAATCCAACGCATGTTTTCCAGTTAACCTGGGGGAAACACAATGGATGTCCTGATACAATTCTAGATTGTGTTTTTTTTTTAATCTTTTTTTCTTTTTAAACCTCACCTAGGCTGGGCACAGTGGCTCATGCCTGTAATCCCAGTACTTTGAGAGGCTGAGGCGGGTGGATCACGAGGTCAGGAGATCGAGACCATCCTGACTACCACGGTGAAACCCCGTCTCTACTACAAATACAAAAAATTTGCCGGGCTTGGTGGTGGGCACCTGTAGTCCTAGCTACTTGGGAGGCTGAGGCAGGAGAATGGCGTGAACCCAGGAGGCAGAGTTTGCAGTGAGCCAAGATCGCACCACCGCACTCCCGCCTGGGCAACAGAGCGAGACTCCATCTCAAAAACAAATAAATAAATAAATAAATAAAAATAATAATCAAAACCTCACCTGGACAATTTTCTATTTCTTTTTTCTTGTTGCCCAGGCTGGAGTGCAATGGCATGATTTTGGCTCACTGCTACCTCCACCTCCCGGGTTCAAGCGATTCTCCTCTCTCAGCCTCCTGAGTAGCTGGGATTACAGGTGCATGCCACCATACCCAGCTAATGTTTTATATTTTTACAAACATTAGGGTTTTGCCAGGGTTTTGCCATGTTGGGAAGGCCGGTCTTGAACTCATGAACTCGTGATCCGCCTGCCTCGGCCTCCCAAAGTGCTAGGATTACAGGTGTGAGCCACCGTGCCTGGCCAACAAATCTCTCTCTTGATCTGAACATAAGTGTGTTCAATTTGTGAAAATTCATCAAGCTTTTCCCTTGTTTGTTATACTTCAATAAAAAGGGGAAAAAAATCTTTGGAATTTATTTTCCCCAAATTGCAAAACAGTATATATCAAATATTCCCACTCTTGCTTGAAAAATACACACCCACAAATACCTACATGTATTTATTTGCATGCAAACAGAAGAATCCTGAAGAGTTATACACCAAACTGTTAAGAGTTGTTCCCTCTAAGAAAAAAAATCTACCCTCACCTTGCCCCTGGGAAAAAGGATTTTCTTTTTCTGAACACTTTTGTATTCTGTATCGTTTGAATACTTTGCCACAATGATGCATTGCTTTTACCATTTTACCATAAATTCCAGTTTGCACCAAAAGCAGTTCAATCAAGCTATGTTCAGCCTCAGACACACGGGAGCCCACAGTCAGTCTGTGAGAAAGGGCTTGTGTTTCCCAGAAAGATCAAACGGCCAGGATGGAGAAGTGCAAAAACTGGTCCCTACCGGGAATGGTCTTGCTGTCTCCCAGGCTCTGAATTTTCCTGTCCAGGATGCGACGCCCTCTGCTGAGAGTCTTGAGAAACTGCACCTCTTCTTCATTAATGATGTCCTTCACCATGTCTGGGTCCCTCTTCAGCTCAGGAAATGCATCTCCCTGACAAAGGGGAAGCAAGATGAGGGGCTGGATGAAACCAAAGACTATTCCCTACCCCCTCTTAAAAAACCTCCTGGCCGGGCGCGGTGGCTCACGCCTGTAATCCCAGCACTTTGGGAGGCCGAGACGGGCGGATCACAAGGTCACGAGATTGAGACCATCCTGACTAACATGGTGAAACCCCGTCTCTACTAAAAATACAAAAATTAGCCGGGCGCGGTGGTGGGTGCCTGTAGTCCCAGCTACACAGGAGGCTGAGGCAGGAGAATGGTGGGAACCCAGGAGGCGGAGCTTGCAGTGAGTGGAGATCACACCACTGCACTCCAGCCTGGGTGACAGAGCGAGACTCCATCTCAAAAGAAAAAAAAAAACCTCCTTAGCAGGGTGCAGTGGCTCATGCCTGTAATCCTACCACTTTGGGAAGCCGAGGCTGAGCTCAGGAGTTCAAGACCAGCATGGGCAACACGGTGAAACCCCGTCTCTACTAAAATAGAAAAAATCAGCTGGGCATGGCGGTGTGTGCCTGTAATCCCAGTTACTCGGGAGGCTGAGACAGGAGAATAGCTTGAACCCAGGAGGCGGAGGTTGCAGTGAGCCGAGATCATGCCATTGCACTCCAGCCTGGGCGACACAGCAAGACTCTGTCTCAAAAAACAACAACAAAAAGCTCCTTAGCAGTATGCCCTCTCCCACCCCATCCCTCTTAACGGATTGCTTTAGCACAGAAGGGTAAGCAGAGAAATGAACCTACCAGGGACTGTACAACAACATCTACTAATGTAGCAAAGAAGCCCCTGCTGGCATTGAGCTTTTCATGGGCGTACCGGACAGCTCGGCGGAGAATCCGTCTCAACACATACCTGTAAGAGGCAGAAACTAGTCCCCAACATTCCCAGCTGAGGGTTTTGTCGTGAATCCGTTGGAATCCTACCCAAAGCAACACCTCTTTCAGGAACTTTCTTTTATCCTAAGCATGCACTTTTGCATTCCCCAAGGTCATTAATTTTAGTGTAAGACTCAGTAACATACCCACAAATACCCATCAAGGCTTGCCTAGAGTAAACGCTGGTTTGTTTTCCTTTCACATTCAGTTACCCATATAGGAAGGCAAGACAGACAAGATGTGTACTTGATGCCGGTGATCCCAGGTCCTGCCTGTCAGTAACAGAGCTTCCCAGGGCTGGTCAATACCCTGCCCCTGCCAATCTCCTATCAGGCAACTTTAAATACAATCCTTATCATCTGTACTCAGCAGCAGAGATTTAGGATAGTGGCAACTATGTGACAGTAGCTGAAACTCCCTTCATCTCTTAAAAAAGCGGTGGAGGGATTCTTCCAACTGCCCAAAAGACAAGGAAACAATAATGAAGGATGGCTTTAAGTTTCATAAAAAGGCCAGGCGTGGTGGCTGACACCTGTAATCCCAGCACTTTGGGAGGCCATGGCGGGTGGATCATCTGAGGTCAGGAGTTCGAGACCAGCCTGGCCAACATGGCAAAACCCCATCTCTGGCTGGGCACAGTGGCTCACACCTGTAAGCCCAGCACTTTGGAAGGCCGAGGCGGGCGGATCACCTGAGGTTGGGAGTCTGAGACCAGCCTGACCAACATGGAGAAACCCCATCTTTACTAAAAATACCAAGTTAGGCATGGTGGCGCATGCCTGTAATCCCATCTACTCGGGAGGCTGAGGCAGATGAATCGCTTGAACCCGAGAGGTGGAGGATGCGGTGAGCCGAGATCAGGAAATTGCACTCAGCCCGGACAACAAAAGCGAAACTGTCTCAAAAACAACAACAAAAGGCCAGGCGCGGTGGCTCATGCCTGTAATCCCAGCACTTTGGGAGGTCGAGGTGGGTGGATCACGAGGTCAGGAGATCGAGACCGTCCTGGCTAACACGGTGAAACCCCGTCTCTACTAAAAATACAAAAAACTAGCTGGGCGCAGTGGCAGGTGCCTGCAGTCCCACCTACTCGGGAGGCTGAGGCAGGAGAATGGCGTGAACCTGGGAGGCGGAGCTTGCAGTGAGCCGAGATCACACCACTGCACTCCAGCCTGGGCGACACAGTGAGACTCCGTCTCAAAAAAACAAACAAACAAAAAAACAACCATCTCTACTAAAAATACAAAAATAAGCCAGGCATGGTGGTGTGCACCTGTAATCCCAGCTACTTGGGAGGCTGAGGCAGAATCGCCTGAACCCAAGAGGCAGAGATTGCAGTGAGCCGAGATCACACCACTGCACTCCAGCCTGGGCGACAGAGTAACACTCCATCTCACAAAAAAAAAGTTTCATAGAGAGTCATACATAGCACATGTGGTGCCAGTCCAAACACTACCCAGTGTGCAGCATACTTACCCGCGCCCTGTGTTGTCAGGCCGGCCACCATCAGCCAGTGCCACAGTGATGGTCCGAGCGTGGTCAGCCAGCACCCGGTAGGCCATGTCAATCCCATCAGCATCCTCAGCACCAACCTTCCCAGTGTACGGTCGGGCACCTGTGCCCTACAGGTAAGAATCAGGAGGCAGCCCTTTAGGAAGCAGCCTTTCTGGGGCTACCTCACCCAAGGAGGTTCCTAGAGGATTGAGGAGCATTAGGAGAAAGGATGCCCGTCTTGCCAGATCCTATAACCCCAAGAATGTGACACTGGGGAAGTGGAGAGACTCCAGCCAGTCCCTACACTCAAAAATTACACTGTCTCAGGTCTAGAGCCTCACATTATTAACAATGAAGTAGCAAATGGAAATGGGTACCCTTAGCTGGCAAAGCATGTGGTCATTTTTTCTTTGACAGCACTGTTAAGAACCCAGCCTGGAAAACTCCACAGAAGTTTGCAATGTTTGCAATAGGACCGGTACCTTCTGAATGGCTTCAAAGTAAGGGACAAAAAGGTCAGTGTCATAGTTGGACATCTTATTCTGCAGCACAGATACCAGTCGCTCCAGGCCCATCCCTGTGTCAATGCTTTTCTTGGGAAGAGGTTTCAGAATGCCATCAGCTTCCCTGTATGATCCAGAAGAAGAGGGGGTTGAAGCAGAGACTCAAGCTGCCATCTCTCCAGTCCCTGCTGGTTAAAATTCATTTACAGAGCAGTTTGCAGGCTGTGACCATCTGCCAATTGACCGGTTTGGTGGGAAGAGGGAAGTGGAGTGATAAAGGAAGGAGAATTACTCCGGGGTTCATTTAAGAGTGAGGCAAGGCCAGGCGCAGTGGCTCAATCTGTAATCCCAGCACTTTGGGAGGCTGAGGTGGGGTGGACCACCTGAGGTTGGGAGCTCGAGACCAGCCTGACCAACATGGAGAAACTCCATCTCTACTAAAAATACAAAATTAGCCAGGCGTGGTGGCACACACCTGTAATCTCAGTTACTCAGAAGGCTGAGGCAGGAGAGTCACTTGAACCCGGGAGGTGGAGGTTGTGGTGAGCTGAGATCGCGCCATTGCACTCCAGCCTGGGCAATAAGAGTGAAACTCCATCTCAAAAAAAAAAAAAAAAGGCTGGGCATGATGGCTCACGCCTGTAATACCAGCATTTTGGGAGGCCGAGGCGGGCGGATCACTTGAGGTCAGGAGTTCGAGACCAGCCTGGCCAACATGGCAAAACCCCATCTCTGGCTGGGCACGGTTGCTCACACCTATAATCCCAGCACTTTGGGAGGCCAAGGCTGGCAGATCACAAGGTCAGCAGTTCAAGACCAGGCTGAGCAACATGGAAACCCCATCTCTACTAAAAATACAAAATTAGCTGGGCGTGGTGGCACATGCCTGTAATCCCAGCTACTCGGGAGGCTGAGGCAGGAGAACTGCTTGAACCCGGGACACAGAGGTTGCAGTGAGCCAAGATCACACCATTGCACTCCAGCCTAGGCAACAAGAACAAAACTCCATCAAAAAAAAAAAAAAAAAAAAAAGGTACAGCAAGCATGACATTATGGGAATAGCTCTCAAGAAGCTATTAGGTGCAATAAGGCTTAGTTCTTGAAAGAACAGGCCTATCCTTGTTCCAGAGATCAGAGGGGTAATCTGAGAAAGAAATGAGCATTTAGCTGAGAAGACAACCACACAGCTCCGAGTTCCTCTTCCCCTGCTCAGCTCAAGGAAAGGAATGGAGTAGACCCCAAGGCTACCTGTTATACTGGATGAACACAAGGTTCCAGATCTCCAGCACATTAGGGTCGTCCTGGTTGACAAGGTGTGCGGCATCCCGACCACCAATCCGGTCGTAGTGTATCTCACTGCAAGGACCGCAGGGGCCTGTGTCACCCATCTCCCAGAAGTTATCCTTCATGTTGCCTGGGAGGATTTTGGTGTCATCCAGCCTGACAAAGGAGTAAAGATAAGCCCAGTTATAGCCCCAACAAAGAGTTCTGCCCAGACTTACAACTACCACAAATGAAATTCTTAGGATTGGCCGCACACAGTGGCTCACATCACTGCACTCCAGCCTAGGCGACAGAGCGAGCCTGTGTCTCAAAAAAGAAAAAAAAAAGAAAAGAAATTCTTAGAATTTTTAATAAAGAAGTTCCAACCTTCAGAATTACTAATGCTAAACCAGCACATAAAACCTGCTAAAGAAACAGAACATGACTCTTCTCAAGAGTGCCTACAATAGAAAAGAATACAAAATATACACATGCTATGATCAAAACTCAATGAAAATACACAACGACATGAGTAAGGCCTAGAAAGGAACACATAATAATGAAAACAGCCATGTACATTGCTTGAACTCAGGAGTTCGAGACCAGCCTGGGCAACATGGAGAAACCCAGTCTCTCTAAAAAAAATTTTTTTTTTTTTTTTTTTTTTTTTTTGAGACGGAGTCTCGCTCTGTCGCCCAGGCTGGAGTGCAGTGGCCAGATCTCAGCTCACTGCAAGCTCCGCCTCCCGGGTTCACGCCATTCTCCTGCCTCAGCCTCCCGAGTAGCTGGGACCACAGGCGCCGCCACCTCGCCCGGCTAATTTTTTGTGTTTTAGTAGAGACGGGGTTTCGCCGTGTTAGCCAGGATGGTCTCGATCTCCTGACCTAGTGATCCGCCCGTCTCGGCCTCCCAAAGTGCTGGGATTACAGGCTTGAGCCACCGCGCCCGGCCTCTCTAAAAATTATTTAAAAAATTAACTGGGTGGGGTGATGTACACCTGTAGTCCCAGCTACCTGGGAGAGGATCACTTGAGCCCAGGAAGTTGAGGCTGCAGTGAGCTGTGATCATGCCACTGCACTCCAGCCTGGGTGACAGAGTAAGAGCTGTCTCACACACACACACAAGATTGTGCTTGCTTAATGAAATGTAGATACACAGTACAGGAAGTCAAGTAAAAGAGGATTTTAAAAACCAGGGTCAAGATTAATATTTAATTTTTTTTTTTTTTTTTTTTTTTTTTTTTTTTTGAACGAGTCTCGCTCTGTACCCAGCTGGATCAGGCGATCTCAGCTCACTGCAGCTCCGCCCCCGGTCACGCCTCCCCCCCCCCGATGCTGGACTACACCCCCCACCTCGCCCGCTAGTTTTTGTATTTCTAGTAGAGACGGGTTTCACCGTTATCCAGGATGTCTCGATCTCTACCTCTGATCACCCGTCTCGCCTCCAAGTGCTGGATTACAGCTGAGCCCCGCCCCCATATTTAATTTTTACACGTGTTACTACCCAAAACTCCAACTACACTTAGACTACAGAGTCAACCAAGTAGGAGTTTTAGATCAAGTAAAAGGGGAAGTTGGGTTAGAATAATATATCTAGAGCAAAAGTAATTAAAAAAACAGAGAAGCAGCCCTATTTCCAAGTATAGTAAAAAGCTATGCACTAAAGGACAAAAGAATTAAGTAAAAAGAACAAGAAAATGAGGCAAACACATCATGGGCAGCTCAGCTATCTACAGAGGGCACACACCCCATGTTCAGATTCTCCTTGATGCAGCACTTCACAAATTCTACTAAATTCACAGCACAGAACACATATAGCTCACCTGCTGTCTTAGCTTTTATAGTATTTATTATACTTTAGAATTATATTATGTTTAAAAAAACTGGTTAGCCACAGTGGCTGATGTCTGTAATTCCAGCAATTTGAAAGGCCAAGGCAGGCAGATTGCTTGAGCTCAGGAGTTCAAGATCAGCCTGGGCAACATGGCAAAACCCCGTCCCTACAAAAAATACAAAAACCAGCCAGGAAGGTGGTGCATGCTTCTAGTCCTAGTTACTTGGGAGGCTTGAGATGGGACGATCACCTGAGCTCAGGCAGTAAACTATGATTACACCACTGCACTCCAGCCTGGTTGAGAGTGAGACCCTATCTCAAAAAACAAAACAAAAAAATTCCTTTTTCCAGCCGGGTGCAGTGGCTCACGCCTGTAATCCCAGCACTTAGGGAGGCCGAGGTGGGCGAATCACCTGAGGTCAGGAGTTCGAGACCAGCCTGACCAACATAGTGAGACCCTTATCTTTAAAAAAAAAAAAAGATGGGCAAGGTGGCTGATGCTTGTAATACCAGCACTTTGGGAGGCCAAGGTGGGCAGATCACAAGGTCAGGAGATCAAGACCATCCTGGCTAACACAGTGAAACCCCGTCGATACTAAAAATATGAAAAAATTAGCTGGGCGTGGTGGCGGGAGCCTGTAGTACCAGCTACTTGGGAGGCTGAGGCAGGAGAATGGCGTGAACCTGGGAAGGAGAGCTTGCAGTGAGCTGAGACTGCGCCACTGCACTCCAGCCTAGCTGACAGAGCAAGACTCTGTCTCAATAAATAAATAAATAAATAAAATAAAAATTAAAAAAAGATATGAATGCATCTAAAAATAATTACTCTGTCACCCAGGCTGGAGTGTAGTGGAGCAATCTCAGGTCACTGCAACCTCCATCTCCTGGGTTCAAGAGATTCTCTCGCCTCACTCCTCCCTTGGGCATCTCAAAATGAACCCAGAGATGGGAAATGACCACGTATTCCAGGTCATAAAACCCCACTCTGGCACTGAGTGTCTTTTCACTCCTCCATACTCTCAAGAAGTGATCTGCATTCTTACCCCAAATTTTGCCAGATCTGTTTGCATTCCAGATCTGGTTCTAAGCCAGCTGCTTCATCCCCGCCAAAGTAAGTAACATAAAGTCTTCCAATGGGAATGCCAAACTCTTGAGTGAGGAGTTCCAGAGCCATCTTACATGCCAATTCCTACAAAAAGAACACAGAGAAAGATATGGAACATCACCAAACCAAAATCTATTTAGTATGAAACCAGATCCTAGGAACAAAGACACAAAATCACAACACGTTCACTCTAAACTCAATCAAATTCAAGATCAGTTTATAGAAGAAATCCAAATATATACTGAAATCATCAAATTACAGGTACTACTTCCAGGAAATCTTAGAATTAATAAATCCCATTCATTCCTGAATCAGCTACATATTTCACATTTTAAAACATGCAAAATTAGCACCCAGTTCCCACTGTGGAAAAGACCATTTTCCTCAAAACCCTAGTGGTTCTCCTGCTCTGAACTTACCTTAAAGTAATCTCCAAAAGACCAAGAGCCCAACATCTCGAAGAAGGTGTGATGATAGACATCCTTGCCCACATCGTCCAGGTCATTGTGTTTGCCCCCAGCCCGGATGCATTTCTGGGTATTGGCGGCTCTGCTCAGCTTTGCCATGGGGTGAGATGGGTCAATTGTGTTCAGGAAGATGGGTTTAAACTAAAAAAGGAAAGCAGTTCAACTTTTAAAGGGTGCAGGTGATGTCAGGTGGCCACACATTGGCAGGAAGAGACCACCACACACTAACTGTGCAGTTCATGATTAACATGCCTGGAATATAGACATCTGTCAGAACAGGTGGCCTGGTGGAGCCAAAGCAGAGGGTAACCTCTCATGGAGTAGTTTCTCCTTGAACCTAGCTCCCTAACAGTCCCCAACACCACCAGTGACACCACCTGCAGAGGGGAAAGGCCTGCCAGATCTAACAGCCAAAGGTTGATGTGGTGAAACCTGGGCTTCTTCACAAGTCCCTGATGTTCAGGGCTTATAACATCTTTCTGGAAGAACTTATTCTGAAAATTGATATGTTCACTTGGCAGTAAATGTGAGGAAGAAGAAAAAAAAACCTGACACATATTAAGGGAATAAAATCGGCACGTTGATGAACGATTGGATGTATCAGTCATCTAGCTGGGACGGCCTTGCTCTGAGGATGTACCAGTCATGCTTTGATGTGTCATTGTTATTTGTTAACTTTGCTTTATATTTCCCACTAGACCTGTTCAATTCACTGCTATTCAATTTGGTAACCACCAGACAGGTTTTCTTTTTTTTTTTTGAGATGCAGTCTGTGTCTCCCAGGCTGAAGTGCAGTGGCGCAATCTCAGGTCACTGCAACCTCCATCTCCCGGGTTTAACCGATTCTCTTGCCTCAGCCTCCCAAGTAGCTGAGATTACAGGCATGCACAGGTACACCTGGCTAATTTTTGTTTTTTTCAGTAGAGACGGGGTTTCGTCATGTTGGCCAGGCTGGTCTCGAACACCTGACCCAAGTGATCCGAACTGATCTGCCCGCCTCAGCCTCCTAAAGTGCTGGAATTACAGGCGTGAATCACTATGCCCAGTCTTACCATTAGACACTTGTGACCATGTAAAACTGAATTAAAATTAGGCTAGGCAAGGTGGCTCATGCCGGTAATCCCAGCACTTTGGGAGGCCAAGAAGGGAGGATTCCTTCGACCCCAGGAGTTCAAGACCAGCCTGGGAAACATAGGGAGACCCTGTCTCTATTTTTAAAAAAATCAAAAAGTAAAATTAAATAATTAGTAATTAATATTTTTAAAAATTAGAAATTCTCAGCCAGGCACAGTGGCTTATGCCTGTAATCCCCAGCACTTCAGGAGGCTGAGGTGGGTCCATCACCTGAGGTTGGGAGTTCGAGACCAACCTGACCAACATGGAGAAACCCTATTTCTACTAAAAATGCAAAATTAGCCAGGCGTGGTGGTGCATGCCTGTAATCCCAGCTACTCAGGAGGCTGAGTCAGGAGAATCACTTGAACCCGGGAGGCAGAGGTTGCAGTGAGCCGAGATTGTGCCACTGCATTCCAGCCTGGGCTATACAACCTGGGCTATATCTGTCTCAAAAAAAAAAAAAAAATTAGAAATTCTGTTCCTCAGTCACACTAGCTCAATAATCACACATGACTGATGGCTGCCATGTTGAACAGAACATTTCCGTCACTGCAAAAAATTCTACTGGACAGTCTTGTGCTAGATCACGAACTCCTTGAAAGCAAACACTCTCTCACTCATCTCTGTATTTCCGGCACCTAGCTGGGTGCCTAATATCATTTCTAATTGGGGGAAAAAAAAAAAGGTATTTGTTGATCAAGAGGCAATATGGCACAAAGGTTAAGGAAATGACTATCAGGGTTCAAGTCCACACTGGCACTTACCAACTATGTGAACATGAGCAACTGACTTGAACTCTCAGTGCCTCGGTAGGGATGGCAACAGAGTTGGGCATAAATGAGTTTAATGTATGCGAAAGACAAAGAGCAGCACCTGGCACATAGTAAGTGCTGCATGCAGGCTGACAGCTATTGTCAATAAGAAAATGTTTACAAGGTCAGGCATGGTGGCTCACGTCTGTAATTCCAGCACTTTGGGAGGCCGAAGCAGGCGGATCACGAGGTCAGGAGTTCGAGACCAGCCTGGCCAAGATGGTGAAACCCCATCTCTACTAAAAATACAACAATTAGCCAGGCGTGGTGGTGGTTGCCTGTAGTCCCAGCTACTTGGGAGGCTGAGGCAGGAGAACTGCTTGAACCTGGGAGGCGGAGGTTGCAGTGAGCTGAGATTGTGCCACTGAATTCCAGCTTGGGCGACAAGGCCAGGCGCGGTGGCCTACGCCTATAATCCTAGCACTTTGGAAGGCCAATACATCGGGATCACCTGAGGCCAGGAGTTCGAGATCAGCCTGGCCAACATGGCGAAACCCCGTCTCTACTAAAAATATAAAAATTAGGCCGGGTGCGGTGGCTCATGCTTGTAATCCCAGCACTTTGGGAGGCTGAGGCGGGCCGATCACGAGGTCAGGAGATCAAGAGCATCCTGGCCAACACGGTGAAACCCTGCCTCTACTAAAAAAAAATACAAAAAATTAGCCAGGCGTGGTGGCGGGCGCCTGTAGTCCCAGCTACTCGGGAGGCTGAGGCAGGAGAATGGCATGAACCCGGGAGGCAGAGCTTGCAGTGAGCCGAGATTGCGCCGCTGCACTCCAGCCTGAGCAACAGAGCAAGACTCTGTCTCAAAAAAAAACCACAAAACACAAAAAACAAATTAGCCAGGTGTGGCGGCAGACACCTATAATCCCAGCCACTGAAGCAGAAGAATCACTTGAACTCGGGAAGGGGAGGCTGCAGTGAGCTGAGATTTTACCATTGCACTCCAGCCTGGGCAACAAGAGCAAAATTCTGTCTCAAAAAAAAAAAATAAAAGTTTACAAACATTGGACTCCCTGGTTCTTGTTGAGGCGGCTCATGTGGGAGGTGACAAAGCTTGGACCCAGGTATGCCTGAATAGAAACAGAAGCTTTCCAGGGTTCCAAAAGCCTATCTCATTGAATAAGACCACCTAAAATTAGTGCCTCCAATTCTAGGTATATGCATAGGACTCACATATAACTGAAAATATTTTTCTTTTTTTTCCATTTTGAGACAGGGTCTTGCTCTGTCACCCTGGCTGGAGTCCAGTGCATGATCACGGCTCACCTCAACCTCCTGGGCTCAAGCAATCCTCCCACCTCAGCCTCCCAAGAGGCTGGAACAACAGGTGTGAGTCACCACCAGCTAATTTTTCCATTTTTCTTTAATTTGTTTCTTTTCCTTTCAGACAGGGTCTTCCTATGTGGCCCAGGCTCCTCTCCAACTCCTGGGCTCAAGCAATCCTCTTACTTTGGCCTCCCAAAATGCTGGAATTACAGGCATGAACCATTGTGCCTGGCCCATTAATTTTTTTTTTTTTTTTGAGACGGAGTCTCACTCTGTCACCCAGGCTGGAGAGCAGGGGCGTGATCTCGGCTCACTGCAACCTCCGCCTCCCAGGTTCCAGCGATTCTCCCGCCTCAGTCTCCCAAGTAGCATAATTTTTTTGTGAGACCAGTCTCACTGTGTTGCCCAAGCTGGTTTGGAATTCCCAGGCTCAAGTGATCCTCCCATCTCAGCCTCCTCAGTAGATGTAATTACAGGGGCACTGTGCCCTATTTTTCGTAATTTTATAGTTAATATTTTAAGAGGTAGAATATGTTCCCACTGTTTCTAACTTTCCATGCCAGAAAAGACACCTAAGAGAAAAGAAAATGTCAACTCATCCCAGAGTGAGGAGCATCCTAAGGGCTGCAGATGCACTGGGTGAGCATCACAGGAAGAGAACCATCACAGGAAAGCCCTGAGAACACCATCTAACCTGAACCCACTTCAGCCACAACCAGCCTGGGAAGTATTTAGTGTCACAGACATGCTGACAAGTTCCTCTTAAACTCCTTTATAAACTTGTCATGCTTTCATTATTTCAAGAGTTAACCCTTTTCTCTCACAATAAACCTTTCAAATGTCTTTTTCTTTTCTTTCCTTTTTTGAGACAGGGTCTCACTATGTTGCATAGGCTGAAGTGCAGTGGTATGATCAGGGCTCACTGTAGCCTTGAACTCCCAGGCTTAAGTGATCATCCTGCCTCAGCCTCCCGAGAAGGTGGGACTACAGGCATACACCACTACACCTAGCTAATATTTGTATTTTTAGTAGACAGGGTTTCACCATGTCGCCCTAGGCTGGTCTCAAACTTCTGGATTCAAGTGATCTGTCTACCTTGACATCCCAAAGTGTTGGGATTACAGGCGTGAGCCGCTGTGCCCAGCCTCACGTATATTTTTCATTCAACCTCCCCAAACTGTACTAATAAATTTTCTTCAGCAATGGATCCAGAGTGGCACTGGTGGCAATAGTTTCAAGAAAGGGGTTAGGTGGGCGGGGCGTGGTAGCTTAGCCTAGCCCTGTAATCACAGCACTTTGGGCAGCTAAGGCAAGAGGATTACTTGAGGCCATGGGTTCGAGACTAGCCTGAACACCTTGGTGAGACCCCATCTCTGCATATAAATAAATAAAATAATTTAGGCCAGGCAAGGTGGCTCACATCTATAATCCCAGCACTTTGGGAGGCTGAGGTGGGTGGATGACTTGAGGTCAGGAGTTCGAGAACAGTCTGGCCAACACAGTGAAACCCCGTCTCCACTAAAAATACAATAATTAGCCAGGCATGGTGGCGCATGCTTGTAGTTCCAGCGACTTGGGAGGCTGAGGCAGGAGAATCGCTTGAACTCAGGAGGCGGAGATTGCAGTGAGCCAAGATTGCACCACTGCACTCCAGTCTGGGCGACAGAGAGAGACTGTCTCAAAACAATAAATAAATTAAAAAATAAATAAATAAAATAATTTTAAAAGCTGACATGCTGGAGCATGCTTGTAGTTCTAGCTACTTGGGAGGCTGACGTAAGAGGATCACTTAAACCCAGGAGTCTGAGGCTACAGCATGCTAGGATCATGCCACTGCACTTCAGCCAGGATGACAAAGTGAGACCCTCTCTCTAAAGAATAATAGCTGGCCGGGCGTGGTGGCTCATGCTGTAATCCCAGCACTTTGGGAGGCCGAGGCAGGTGGATCACGAGGTCAGGAAATCAAGACCATACTGGCTAACACAGTGAAACCTCGTCTCTACTAAAAATACAAAAAATTAGCCGGGCGTGGTTGTGGGCGCCTGTAGTCCCAGCTACTCGGGAGGCTGGGGCAGGAGAATGGCAAGAACCTGGGAGGCAGAGCTTGCAGTGAGTGGAGATGGTGCCACTGCACTCCAGCCTGGGCAACAGAGCAAGACTCTGTCTCAAAAAAAGAGACCAGGCGCAATGGCTGATGCCTGTAATCCCAACACTTTGGGAGGCCGAGGTTGGTGGATCATACATGGTGAAACCCCGTCTCTATTAAAAATACAAAAAATTAGCCAGGTGTGGTGGCGGGTGCCTGTAGTCCCAGCTACTCGGGAGGCTGAGGCAGGAGAATGGCGTGAACCTGGGAGGTGGAGCTTGCAGTGAGCTGAGATGGCGCCACTGCACTACAGCCTGGGCAACAGAGCAAGACACCGTCTCCAAAAAAAAAAAAAAAAAAAAACCCACTAATGTTTGAGTACCTACTATGTGCGAAATACTGTGCTAAACATTTTGTATGCCTTATCCTATTTGCCTCTCACTAAAACCTACAGGCAGGCAATATTATTCCTTATTTTGCAAAGAAACTGAGGTCCACCACATAAAGTTCCACAAGATCACACAGGGAGTGACAGAACCGGAATTGGTCTGACCCCAGGGCTGTGCTTTTATCTCGACTCTGCTGCCTCTTATGTGAACAAACAGCCAAGAAAAAAGGAAAAACCCTTACCTGGTTCATGCCCGCATTGGCAAACAGCAAAGTGGGGTCATCCAATGGGATGGTGGCAGACGAGTGAATGTAGGTATGCTCGTTCCTCTTGAAGAAATCTATAAATCGCTGCCGGATTTCACTTGCTGTTAGAGTAGAGTCCATCTTGAAAGTCACTCCAAAGAACTAATCAAAGAAAAAACAATGAAGGAAAATTAGGGGAGTTGAAAGTCAAAGTAGGCATTACACAAGACTTTTGGCTTCTCAAGCCAAGTCAAAGCAGGACTCAGGTGAGCTGTTTGATCCTAAAACCTCTATGTTGTAATGCCCAAGGCTAAAATCATCATCAAAGCAACACCAGAGCACCAACAGACAGCAGCCCCATCTGTTCTTCCTTCCCATGCCAATTTCGAGAGGTTCAACCCCCAGCACACCAAGCACAGCACTGCTGAATGTTTGTTCATTAAACAAATATGTATTGAGCATCTGCTCTGTGCCAGGCCCTAGACCAGGAATTAGAAACAAGAGGGACAGCCAGGCGCGGTGGCTCATGCCTGTAATCCCAGCACTTTGGAAGGCCGAGGCGATCAGATCACAAGGTCAGGAGTTCAAGACCAGTCTGGCCAACATGGTGAAACCCCATCTCTACTAAAAATACAAAATTGGCCGGGCGCGATGGCTCAAGCCTGTAATCCCAGCACTTTGGGAGGCCGAGACGGGTGGATCACAAGGTCAGGAGATCGAGACCATCCTGGCTAACACGGTGAAACCCCGTCTCTACTAAAAAATACAAAAAACTAGCCGGGCGAGGTGGCAGGCGCCTGTAGTCCCAGCTACTTAGGAGGCTGAGGCAGGAGAATGGCGTGAACCCGGGAGGCGGAGCTTGCAGTGAGCTGAGATCCGGCCACTGCACTCCAGCCTGGGCGACAGGTAAGACTCCGTCTCAAAAAAAAAAAAAAAAAAATACAAAATTAGCTGGGCATGGTGGCGCGTGTCTGTAATCCCAGCTACTTGGGAGGCTGAGGCAGGAGAATCGCTTGAACCCAGGAGGCACAGGTTGCAGTGAGCCAAGACCGCGCCACCGCACCCCAGCCTGGCGACAGAGTAAGACTCCATTTCAAAAAAAAGAAAAAGAAAAAAGGAAAAAAAGGGGGACAAAGACCCTCAGTTTAGTCCAACTGGGGAAGAGGGAGAGCAGTTCAGGAGACCAGGGTTTGAGTTCTAGCTCCAAGTCCTGAAGGAATCACTTCACCAATAAAAGAAGGGGTCCATATGAGATTATCTCTAAAGATCCCTTCAGCTCTTGTGTTAATACACAAGCCTAGAACTGCAAAGTTCCATTATCCCCAAAGCCAGGGTCTCTAGGTTTGGCCTGATGTCTTGGTGAGCAGCAATAGTCCTGGGGATGGGCCTATCTGTACAAGGGACCACCTGTATGTAGCAGGAATATACCTACCTCTATGTATCCTACATCCCCCAAGAACCCTAACATCAAACGGCTGCCTTCCAGCCATTAGATTACTAGGGAGTGGGGATGTTGTAGCCCCACTTTGGAGGCACAGCTTACCGAAAGTGAAACAACAAGGGAATTGGTGGAGACGGAAACAACTTTATGACTTCAAAGTCCTTTCACGAGTTGGGCGTGGTGGCTCACACCTGTAATCCCAGCACTTTGGGAGGCTAAGGTGAGAGGATTGCCTCAGCCCAGGAGTTTGAGACCACCCTGGGCAACATAGCCAGACCTTGTCAGTACAAATAGTAAAAAAATTAGCTGGGCATGGTGGTGCGTACCTGTGGTCCCAAATACTTGGGAGGCTGAGGTGGAAAGATTGAGCCCAGAAGAGTGAGGCTGTAGTGAGCTGTGATTATGCAACTACACTCCAGCCCAGGCGACAGAGCAAGACCTTGTGTCAAAAAACAAAAAAACAGGCCGGGCATGGTGGCTCAAGCCTGTAATCCCAGCACTTTGGGAGGCTGAGACGGGCAGATCACGAGGTCAGGAGATCGAGACCATCCTGGCTAACATGGTGAAACCCCGTCTCTACTGAAAAATACAAAAAAACTAGCCGGGCGAGGTGGCGGGCCGCTGTAGTCCCAGCTACTCGGGAGGCTGAGGCAGGAGAATGGTGTAAACCCAGGAGGTTGAGCTTGCAGTGAGCCGAGATCTGGCCACTGCACTCCAGCCTGGGTGACAAAGCGAGACTCTGTCTCAAAAAAGAAACAAAAACAAAAACAGCTCTTTCACAGATACTACAATTTCCCTGAGAGGCAGGCTGGGGAGAAGTGACAGGCTTTGGTGAGAGTGCTGATCACTGGCATGGTGTTGCAGTGCCACACAGTGCTGTGTCTAGAAAAATGAGAACCATATCTCATTCACAGTATTAACACTGTTATCAAAGTGTCTCTGGAATTCCAGACCCAACAGTAACCTTAATTCACTTTTGTCTGAGTTTAGTTCCTTTTCTGTACAAAGCAGTATCTACCCTGCCTATTCAACTGAGGTGTTGTGAGGATCAAAAGCTATACTGTATTTGGAAGCAATCTGTAAAATGGAAAACCTTACGCCGGGTGCGGTGGCTCACACCTGTAACCCCAGCACTTTGGGAGGCCGAGGCGGGTGGATTACCTGGGATCAGGAGCTGAAGACCAGCCTGGCCAACATGGTGAAAACCCATCTCTACCAAAATACAAAAATTAGTCAGGCATGATGGTGAGTGCCTGTAATTCCAGCTACTCAGGAGGTTGAGACAGGAGAATTGCTGGAACCCGGGAGACGGTGGTTGCAGTGAGCCGAGACTGCGCCACTGCACTCCAGCCTGGGTGGCTAAGGGAGACTCCATCTTAAAAAAAAAAAAAAAGAGGAAAACCTTGACGGAACAGAGTGGATATTACTTTTAAGTTGTTTAGCTGAAAGTTTTCTTTTTTTCTGGTTCTGTCCAGACTGGAGTGCAGTGGGACAATCACTTAAGTAGCCTTAAACTCCTAGGCTCAAGTGATCCTCTTGCCTCAGCCTCCCAAGTAATGGGGACTACAGTTGAAAACCACCATGCCCAGTTAATTTTTTTTTTCTTATTTTTTTTGAGACAGAGTCTCACTCTGTCACCCAGGCTGGAGTGCTATGGCACAATCTCAGCTAACTGCAGCCTCCACCTCCCAAGTTGCTGCAATCCTCCTGCCTCAGCCTCTCAGGCAACTTGGATTACAGGCACATGTCACCACACCCAGCTAATATTTGTATTTTTAACAGAGTCGGGGTTTCACCACATTGCTCAGGCTGGTCTCGAACTCCTGACCTCAGGTTATCTGCCAGCCTCAGCCTCCCGAAGTGCTAGGATTACAGGCATGAGCTACCATGCCCAGCTAATTTCTGTTTTTGTTATAGATGGTGCATTGCTATGCTGCCCACGCTCGTCTCGAACTCCTGGCCTCAACCTCCCAGTTGGGATGGCATGAGCCACAATGCCCAGCCAGTTTTCTTCTTATGAGGAAGATACAATAGAGATGTACAAAGTGAACAGGAGATCCTGACTCCAGCTACTTTTCAAAAGACACATGAATTTCCCATTTTTGCTTACTCATTCACCATAATGAATGCATACTATGTGCCAAGAATCAAACTGAATGACAGCCTATGTCCTTCCTGGGGAGACGATCATATACAGAATTAACTGCAGTATTGTGTAAAAGGACTGAATATATCAACTATGAGCCTACGAAGGCTGGAACTATTAAAAGCTGTATCCCCACATTCATTTATTTACCCCATTTATTCAATATAAATTCAATACATTTATTCAACATAAACTCATTCATTTATTCACTGGAAGGCTGTATGGGATTCAGAGGTAGCACAAAGGCAGAACCTCAGGTTTCACTTAATAACAAGAGCTGTAAACGTCTTGGGTGCCTTAAATCACACTGTGGCTCCAGCCACTCCACAGGAATTTTTTTTGAGACAGGGTCTCCCTCTCTGTCACCCAGGCTGGAGCACAGGCAGTGGTGCAATCATTTGGCCTTCCAGGCTCAGGTGTTCCTCCCACCTCAACCTCCGGAGCAGCTGGGACTACAGGCATGTGCGACCACACCCGGCTAATTTTTTGTATTTAAAAAAAATTTTTGAGGCCAGGTACGGTGGCTCACGCCTATAATCCCAGTACTTTGGGAGGTCGAAGGCAGGTGGATCACAAGGTCAGGAAATTGAGACCATCCTGGCTAACATGGTGAAACCCTGTCTCTACTAAAAACACACAAAAAAAATTAGCGGGGCGTGGTGGCACACACCTGTAATCCCAGCTACTTGGGAAGCTGAGGCAGGAGAATCGCTCGAACTTGGGAGGCAGAGGATACAGCGAGTCGAGATGATGCCACTGCACTCCAGCCTGGGTGATAGAAGATTTTCGCCCGGGTGCAGTGGCTCATGCCTGTAATCCCAGAACTTTGGGAGGCCAAGGCAGGTAGATCACCTGAAGTCAGGAGTTCGAGAACAGCCTGGCCAGCATGGTGAAACATGGTGAAACCAAAAATATAAAAAAATCAGCCGGGCGTGGTGGTGGGCGCCTATAATCCTAGCTATTTGGGAGGCTGAGGCAGGAAAATTGCTTGAACCTGGGAGGCGGAGGCTGCAGCGAGCTGAGATCATGCCATTGCCCTCCAGTCTGGGTGACAGAGCGAGACCTGTCTCGACATTTTTTTTTTTTTAGACAGGTCTCTGTCACCCAGGCTGGAGGGCAGTGGCACAACCACAGCTCATTGCCACCTCCGCCTCCTGGGCTCAGGTGATCCTCCTACCTCCGACCCTCAAGGAGCTGGGACGACAGGTGCTCACTATCATGAACTGGCTAATTTTTTTGTAGAGACAGGCTGCTCTCAAATTCATGAGCTCTGGCCGGGCGCGGTGGCTCAAGCCTGTAATCTCAGCACTTTGGGAGGCCGAGACGGGCGGATCACTAGGTCAGGAGATCGAGACCATCCTGGCTAACATGGCGAAACCCCGTCTCTACTAAAAACACAAAAAACTAGCCGGGCGAGGTGGCGGCGCCTGTGGTCCCAGCTACTCGGGAGGCTGAGGCAGGACAATGACATAAACCCGGGAGGCGGAACTTGCAGTGAGCCGAGATCCCGCCACTGCACTCTAGACCGGGCTACAGAGCGAGACTCCGTCTCAAAAAAAAAAAAAAAAAAAAAAAAAATTCATGAGCTCAACCGATGGGCCCACCTCAGCCTCCCAAAGTGCTGGCACTACGGGCATGAACCACTGCACTGGGGTGCCACAGGACCTTTTAACATGCTCTTCATGTGCCAGGTAAGCTGTCTGCCCCACCCTTTTCCCTTTTCCTAGTAAACGTCTCACTTTTGATGTATCAATTCCAAAGAAACTTATTTCCGGGGCACAGTGGCTCATGCCTATAATCCCAGCTGAGGCATTTGGGAGGCTGAGGCAAGGGCATTGCTTGAGGCCAGGAATTCAAGACCAGCCTGGGCAACATGGGAACACCTGAGCCTGGGAGGTCAAAAAAAAAAAAATTTTTTTTTTTTTTTTAATTAGCCAGGTGTGGTGGTGTGCACCTGCAGACCCAGCTACTTGGGAGGCTGAGTGCAAAGGGTCGCTTGAGCACTTGCGCACTTGAGCACAGAAGTTTGAAGCTGCAGTGAGCTATGGTCACACCAAAACATTCCAGCCTAGGTAACAGGTTGAGACCCTGCCTCAAACAACAACAAATGTAAAGACACTTTTTTTTTTTTTTTTTTGGAGACCGAGTTTCACTCTTGTTGCCCAAGCTGGAGTGCAATGGTGCTCGCAATCTCGGCTCACTGCAAGCTCCGCCTCCCGGCTTCAAGCGATTTGCCTCAGCTTCCCGAGTAGCTGAGAATACAGGCATGTGCCACCACACCTGGCTAATTCTGTATTTTTAGTAGAGACGGGGTTTCTCCACGTTGGTCAGGCTGGTCTCGAACTTCTGACCTCAGGTGATCTGCCTGCCTCGGCCTCCCACAGTGCTGGGATTACAGGGGTGAGCCACCGCGCCCGGCCAAGATACTTATTTAAGAAAGCCTTCCCCTTCTTGCTAAGGCTCCCTCTTTTACTGTCTCACAGCCTCAAGTGTTTCCCTTCATAATTTCCACATGCGCTTAATGGCTTGTTTAATGTGCGCCTCCCCCATCAGGCTGTCAGTTCCATCCCAGCAGCAACGACTGTTTTGGGCTATTTTTTGAAACGGAGTCTCTGTCACCCAGGCTGGGGTGCAATGGTGTGATATCAGCTCACTGCAACCTCCGCCTGCCAGGTTCAAGCGATTCTCATGCCTCAGCCTCCCGAGTGGTTGAGATTACAGGCATGTGCCGCCACGCTCGGCTAATTTTTGTATTTTTAGTAGAGACGGGGTTTCACCATGTTGGCCAGGCTAGTCTCGAACTCCTGACCTCAGGTGATCCACCCGCCTCGATCTCCCAAAGCGCTCGGATTAAAGGCGTGAGCCTCCGCGCCGTCCCTGGGCTCACTATTACAGCACATCCTCAGCATCTAGTACAGTGGCTGCTAAATACGGATTTCGTGATCAGGTATACTAATCCTTTAACAGCAAGTTCGGAATTAACTCACATGCTTCAGCGCACACCGAGAAATACAAATTGTTTTACAGAACAGCTGAAGATGACGGTCTAGGTGGGCCTGGACCGGCATCAGCTGTTTCATTTTAAGAAATCAGGGAATGGCTGGCTCACAGCAGGACTCCCCCCAGCTGGCCCATCCTTCCTCCTGTGCTCCCACCCGCCCCAGGGGATTAAAACCAAGGGAGATGAAACCTCAGGTTGGCAACCGTTAGGTCTTGGTGCTCAGCAAATCCACCCGAGGCCGCGACACTCGCAGCGCTCCCGGGAGCGAACGCAAGGCCACACTGTCCAGCTCCCGCTCCCGCCCAGACTGGGCTTCTCCAGGCCACGCGGGGCTTGACCCTGGGGCCCACTGCGGCTGCCGAGCTTTCCCCCCAGGCTGCGGGCCCAGCCGCTCTCCTAGCACCGCAGAGCTCTCCGAGGGCCGCCTACCTCTCCTAGGGTCGCCGTCCCCAGCTCCTCCTTCAGAGTCCCCGGCCAAGGGCTCGCTGTACCTATTACCGCAGGCGCGCAGCTGTTCCGGCCCCAGGACACAGCCGGCCACAACCCGCCGCGCCCCGTCCAATCAGAGCGCGCTGACGGAAAGCACCCCGCCGCGCCTTACCTCATGAGATTTTATTGGTCAATCAACATGCCAGTCAAACTGAGGACGAATCCGCTCATTAGCGGATTCCTGGGAAGGCGGCTCTAAATTGGCTGATGCAACTGCGAGAAAAGATCGGATGGGGTGTGTCACGTGATCGAGTTAGACTCCGACTCCCGGAGGTCGACATTTTGGTTTCCATAGGCAAATTCCTAATACCACAATTGACATAGTTAATAAGGGGAGACGGTAACGTGTCTCAGTAGAGGTCACAGGTCTTGGTATAGTTCTGTTTATTTTAGTTGCTGAGTGATATGCAGCCCTCAAAGATTCTGACGTTGTGCCCATGGTTACACGTGTCCTGGGGAGACATTGAATGTGGTGTGGAAGAAGTAACATCAGTAGTTGAGGTACAATTGGATCGGCATTTGGTCCTCGATTTGCCTTTGAAAAAAAAATATTTATAGGCCTGGGGGAGGAGGGTGAATATATATATACACACACACACACCCCCACACACCCCCGCACATATGTATATGCCAGGCGCGGTGGCTCACGCCTATAATTGCAACACTTTGGGAGACTAAAGTGGGAAGATCCCCTGAACCCAGGAGTTGGAGACCAGCCTGGTCAACATAACTAGATCCT